GGGACTGAATTCCTGGGTCATCTCCTGTCCTTGCTCCGACTGTCCCCTGGTGCACCCTATCCATCCTCAGCATCCAGCCAATTCCCATACGTTTATCTTAACCTGCTCCGCCTTCTCATTCACATTTTCTGGACTGTCAGTGAGCTTTGTGGCTGGCTTATGGTGTCGTTCTCCCAAGGGGGAGTCCAGCTCTCCACCCTTGGGACTTCTATACTTCTCCGCATCCCATTTCTCAGATTCTGTCTCCTTCCTCCCAGCCTGGGGCATTTCCAGAACTCACCCTTCTAGATGATCATCCCTTCTGCATCTTCCATTCTGCTTCTGTGGCCTCTGACGCTGCTTTAAAACTTCCCATGATGTCGTCGTGTTAACTTCTTCCCTGTGTTTTCCCCACTTTCCCCCCCTTCTTATGAAATCTCATCTTCTGTCCCAAAGACCCCACATGTGCTGTAACTTCCTCAAGGGCTCTGCGTGCACATGCTCGTATCTGGAGCAGGCCCTGTGCTAGACCGTGGCCTTTGTCCTTGTTTCCTCAGGCCTGTTTCTTGCACATCCTAACGCGGCTTCTAAACTCCTATTTGAAGGCAGAAGGAGCAGCCAGCAGGGTGGGTCCCTACATTGGGGTAACACATGGGTCCCTGTGGAACCTGAAGGAGGAGGGAGCTTTCTGTTATAACTTTGGGGGTCTTTGTGTTACCACTTAGGTCACAGATCTGAAATTCTCCGGGGGGTGGGGGGCGCGGGCAGCTTCTGCAACGGGGTCCCCATTTCTCTGAGTTACTTAGGACCTTTCATCTGAAGACAGGCTCCAGCTACCAGGGAAGCCCCTGGGGCTGGGCTTGCTGCCCTGAGGCTTACAAGAGATGACTTGGAGTGAGCCAAATCTGAGGCCCTGCCCTTCACTTTTCTCTCTGCCCAGGGGTATGTCCTGCTGCTTTGGGGGCTTGGTGGTCCCATTAGGCTTAGAAAGGGTGGGGTGTGGCCTCTACTCATGTACTCCTTATCGGCAGATCCTCTGGCTCAGGGTCTTCTGGGTGCTCTTACATTCCCAGCCCCTCAATTTGGGGGCAGATACAAGGGCCCTGAGCCGCTCAGACCCTGCTGCTCATGCTGGGAGATCCATGCATCTGGTGTCCCCTGGGTGCCCTGAGCTGTCCCCTGTTGTGTCAGTGATGTGTGTCTGATTCTTTTCAGAACATGGTGGGGAGGCAGGCAGAGCCATTGACCACAGTGACCATGGAAAGCTTGATAAAATGTACAATTCCGCAGGTCAGAAAAAGGCACACAGGTCAGTAAATGTCCAGAGGGCAAATGAAAAATGGCAGCGCAGAAACTGCGAGTGTCTGGCATAGGGCATTCTCCTTGCAGCTGCTCTCTGAGTTTGAGATGATGGAAAGGTAAAAGGTTGCCCATAAAAAAGTCACAAGAAGAGAGGAACACCTCTCTCTGCCTCTCCCCTCCTTGAGGAAAGGCCACCCACTAAATTCAATCCTCCCCCCACCGTGAGACCAGAGGCAGGACTGCCCAGCGCTGGGCTATTGGGGATTAAAGTTGTAGCGAACGTTGAAGGGAGAAAGGGCAGCTTGCACGGCCCCCTGCTCTTGCTGGGCTGCAGGAGGACCACGCACAGCGCACCGGCCCAGTGGTTGCTCTTTTTTCAGACGTGACTGAGATTCTTAGTGGTTATTTTTATTGTTAATATTTCTTAGTCTTTCCCTTTTGGGGCCTCACTTTCCAATATAGCAGCCACTCGCCACAAACTGCTGTGTAAATTTACATTAATTAAAATCCCATAGAACTTGAAGGTCCTTAGGCAGGTGGCGCTGGCCACCTTGCAGGCGATTGGTCTCTGCATGGCTGCCGGTGAGGACAACCATGGACGGCAGGGTGGGTCCCCACATTGGGGTAACACATGGGTCCCTGTGGAGTCTGAAGGAGGAGGGAGCTTTCTGTTATAACTTTGGGGGTCTTTGTGTTACCACTTTGGTCACAGATCTGAAATTCTGGAGGGGGCAGCTTCTGCATGGGGGGTCCCCATTTCTCTGAGTTACTTAGGACCCCTCATCTGAGGACAGGCTCTAGCCACCAGGGAAGCTGTGATTGTCCTTTTGGAGACAGGTTAGGTGATTTGTGGTGCAACAAAGAAATAAAACACTTGTGGGGGCGCAACCCCATACCAGACAATACTGGGGACGTGGAGGGGGCTGGGTTGGGAAGGACAGGGGCGTTGAGGGTTGAGTCGGGGGAAGATCTAAGAAGAGATTGGTCTTTGTCCTGAGAGTGCTAGGGGGCTGTGGAGGGTGTTAGAGGAGAGCAGGGTTTGCTTCTACGAGCCCCATTAAGATTGCCGTGGTGGTGGGGTTTTGGCAAGGAAACACGGAAGTTGCTGCAGGGACTCCACCCAGGGCTGTCGCTGTGGGAACAGAGGGTCATGTCAGGTTGGCCTGAGGCCACTAGGAACAGGCTGTGGAGTGAAGGATCTAGTGTGTGCATGGGTAGGGGGTGCGTACAGAGCGGGACTTGAAGACGGATCCCCCAGCAGTCTGATGACCCCCCTGGTGTGGTGCCTCCTGGTTGAGGCTGGGACTCTGGACAGAGCTGTGCCCGGAGGCACGTGACCGTGTTGGCATTCACTGTCGTCCTCCACACCCCCAAACCGAAATCTGTTGATTGGGCCTCTTGGTACGGAGGAGCCAGCCCTGGACTCTTCATCTATACCCAGTGGCCGGCCAGTGTCTGTCATGCTGCTCTGCCTCTGCCAGTGAAGTCCGTGCCAGTATGACTCTATTTACAAAAGCAGGACTTGGGCCCCAGTTTGCTGACCCAGCATGGGATGTTGGCCACTCAGCCGCAGACAGTGTGACTGTGCCTGACAAAGCCCATTGCCCCGTTTCGGGGGGGCTTCAGGCAAGGGTACACCAAGGAGGTGACCCAGCAGGCCCCAGGCAGGAAGCCTCAGCATTTGTTGGATGCCAACTGTATCCCTAGACCTGCAACTTTCCTTGTCACCCCTGGCTGACGCAGACTGGGATGGCCGGTGCTCCAGGGCCTCTTGCAGCCAGGATTAAGCTGAATGGAGTCTGTCCCAGGCACCCACCCCACCAGCACTTCACCCCCAGCATTTAAAAAAATTATCCTGCAACAGCAGTGTCTTATCCTATTAGTACAATTTAACGTGAACAAGGAATGCATCATAAATATTCATGGAGGGCTATTAAAATGCATAATTAATTGGTGTGGGGATTTTAATAACTATTAGTGGTGTGTTGGGGGAGGGGTATTCCTGTTTTTGTAATTTCCACTGTAAGGAAGCCAGGGCTGGGTGAGGGGTTTTCCAGAAAGGGTGGAGCAAGACCCCGCTGTCTCTGCCAGGTGCTTGTGGTGCCCATATGAAGGCTCACCCCTGGGTGTGAGACCCCAGGAGTCCCTTCATCAATGCTGGACCTGGGGGGGGGATGCCCTGCTTGCTGAGCCAGGTGTCACTCAGAACACAGCGGACTTGGAAGGTGGCCTCACTGCTGTTTTGGGGGTGCTCAGTAGCTGCTCACTGAGGGGTGGGAGCTGTGGTTAGAGGGGGAGGGGACAACAGACAGGTGGACCTATAGGAAACAGGCTCAGAGCACTCACTGGTGCTTGGCCCAGGGTCATTCCCACCTTGCAGTTCACTCTAACTTGGAGCCCAGATGGGGTGCAGACACCCCAAGGTGGCAAATGCTGGCTGGATTCCCAGAGACCTTGGGACCCCCTTCCCCCTTGCATTGTAATCACAATGGAAATTTTTGATTAGAAAACAAAGTATAAATGAGATATATGAATATTCATTAGACCAGGAGCTTGGTATGCATAATCATGCAAATTACACAGCAATTAAACACCAATGGTGGGGGGGGGGTGATTAACACAAAGGCACCAAAATGGAAGGAGGTAGTTTGAAACAAGTTTCTGGTACAGATGGCCAAGAGGGTCGGAGGTGAGGGTAAAGGGTTTGGGCTGCAGTGCAAACAGCCCCTCCCCCCACTCTAGCCTGTGGGGGGAAGCTTATGTCCAGCACCCTCCTTCTACGCCTTTCTCCCAACCTAGCCTGACTTAGGGAGACTTCAGGTTCAGGATTGGATGTAGACATTCCCCGTCCTGCAAAGTAGGATCTGTTCAGAACTCCATTTACAGAAGAGGGAAACTGAGGCACGGGGAAGGACCGGGAGCGCCTCCCCTTCTACTTTTCCAGACTATGTGCTCTGTGACCCCATAGAAGGGGGGGTCAGAGCCTCCTGCCTCAGAAAGCTCCTAGTACCCACTGCCTGCAGAGTGGGGGAAATTCTGGAGCCCTGGGCGGGTGCCTGCCTTTCAAAGTGTTCTGAGAGATAAGCACCCCACACTGCCCCGCCCTGCCTCTCCAGACCAAGGTTCTGGTCCCCTGCTTTGTTAACCCCTGCCACACCTTGGGCCTCTGGCCTGTCAGTGAAATAGAGGCTCCTGTTTGTTTATGCTTCTATCTGAAGGAGTTTGGAGTGATGCCACCCAAGGGGCCACCAGGCACTGTAGGCAAAGGTAGCTCCTACGGTGATTTCAACAGAGGGATGGCCCTGCCTCCCAAACTGGCAGCGAGTGCCTTGCCTACTCCACAATGCCCTGGTGAGCTCTTTTCACATGGTCAGGAGAAGCTGATGCCTCAGCCTGGCATGGCCAGCCCTGGGGCTGTGGGGAGAGGAGGCTCCATGTGAGTAAAAGAGTCCTGCCTGAAGCGGGCATGGTGGCTGGGACTTTGACGGATGGGCAGATGGTGGTCAGCAGAGATAGCTGGTAGAAGTTTCTTGAGTGTGGACTTGTGTTGCACGGAGTGCAGGTGTCGGGAGGGTTTGCTGCTCCGCCGGGGTCAGTGTAGACACAGGGCTGGGCTGGCGAGACGCACAGCTGGCGAGGGGCGTGCCTCCCTGTGCGGCCCTGTGCTCTGTACGGGTGTCGGTGGGTTGTCACCCTGTCTCTCTCTTCCCACCCTGCAGGTCTGGAGGACCGGACCGGCTCGGGCTCCTGGGGCACTGGCGACCAAAACAGCTCCTCCTTTGATGCTAGCCGGGTGAGGAACTGCGGTGATGCCGAGACCCTTCGGTCTTCCTTCTCTGGGGTGGGGGTGTAGGAGGGAACTGAGGCTGTGCAACCTGGTCTCCAAGATGTGGTTCAGGTTCTGACTTGACTTAGGTGCTTGCAAGCATGCCTGCCCCCTAAACCTGTTCCCTAGCTATGAGATGGGGGTGTCCCCAGCAGTCCTTACCTCACCTCATTTCTTTGCAGACCTACAGCGAAGGCGCCCACTTTGGTGAGTCCCACCCCAGCCTTTCTTCGTCCACATTCCTGGGCCCCGTACTTGGAGGTGAGTGTCACACAGCGGGCCTGGAGTCGTGCTCGGGAGGCCGGTGCTTAGCCTGGGCCTGGGCTGCCCACTTGGTGCTGTGACTTGCACTCCCTCCCTGGGTGCTAGAGGCAGGAAGGCAGTTTTGGACTTGGGCTCCCCTGCTCCCGGGTGAGCAGTCAGGAGTCCTGCAGACTCGAGGAGTCAGAGCCTGCGGGACCCTTGAAGATGGCCTGGACAGTTGTGGTCTCTCCCACGGGGTGGTGGTCCCGGGCCCCATGCTCAGCCAGGCCCCTCTGCCTGTCTGAGGGGATGTTGGGAGTGACCACAAAGGTGGGAGCTCTGAGGAATCAGGGGTCTGCTGCTGTGGCTCAGCTCCCTCCTCGGAGCCGGGGCTGTGATTTGGGTGTTTTATTTATTTATTTATTTATTTATTTATTTATTTTAAATGCTCGCCATCTCTTTTTTTTTTTTTTCCTTTAATATTTATTTATTTATTTATACATGCACTGGGTACAGTCAGAAGCGCGGGAGGGTGAGAGAACTCACCAGAGCCAGAGCGGGGAGCAGAGCAGGCAGAAGGACCGAAGGACACTGCTGAGGGGAGCAGCGGGCCGCAGGAGAGGTCTGCGCGCCATGTGGGACCCTCCTCTGGTGGCCGGGGAGCAGCTGGGGATCGAACCGGCACTGCAGAGGCTGCGGGCAGCTTCGGAACCCAGCTCTCAACCGCTGCGCCACCGGGGAGGCCCTGATTTGGGTGTTTTAATTCCATCCCATGGTGATCCTGAGACGAGGCCATTCCAGTGACAAGCCCGTTCATGGGCGTCTCCGTCACCAGCAGTTTCCGAGCCCAGGGTGCATCATCGGGTCTGTGGCTGCTGTGGAGCCGGATGTGTGAATTATGGGTGGGGAAACTTGGGGGCCAGCCTTTGCCCTGGTCCCTGAGAGGAACGTGGGAAGGGGAAGGGGTGGCATCCCCTGCTGCAGTGGGTTTGTGCCCAACTCCCCACGAACGTGCAGAGCTCGGGTGGCCTCGGCACCTGCAGGGGTGCGGGTTCCCTCTGACTCCTCCCTCCTTCTGCTCTTCATCTGGGCAGTTCCCATGTCTGCGCCTGGCCACCTGATTCTGGAGCGCAGCTGTGTCCAGGCCCCCCACGCCCTCACTGTCTCAGAGACCAGGAGGGCAGTGTGACGTTCCGGCTGGTGGCTGGGGGCCAGCAGGGACACGGTGCAGTCTTGCTCCCTGGGCTTGTTTCTTCATCCGCTGAAGGAGACAGTGGGGCTGGTGGGGCGGCAGGGCCAAGCAGCCCAGGGCAGGGTCAAGATTTTGTGCACCTGTGACCCCCAGCCCAGGCTGGCTTCCCAGCAAGACCTTGGTAGTTTTGTTCCTTGCTTTTTGCCCTTGTCTTACTCTCTTGTGTGGGGCTAGTGCCTGCTGTATTCCTAAGGCACTCGTGGCGCCTACATGATCCCCTCCCAGAGCTCCGACTTCCTCTCCTCACTACTCATTCGTTCTGTTCAGGAGACCTTTGTTTGGCTCCTGCCACATGCAGAGCCTGGACCGTGGAAGCCCAAAGAAGTGATGCCCACATGTGCAGGGGCAGCCCCTTTCTTGGGCCAAGTGCAGCACTCTGACTAGACTTCAGCTTTGCTCCCCTTGCTCTGGGCAGAGGGAAGCAGTGTCACCCCCAGGCTGACCAGTGGCGGGGGTGAATCCCCTTTGGCCCTCAAGCCTGGATTTGTAGGGTCCTAAGTGGGCCTCATGTCCTCTGTACAGGAGGTCACTGGAGGTTGGACTGGCGGGTATGGCTCAGGGGGCACCCAGCTTGTCACTGACATTAAACAGTAAGACCCTTTTTTCCCACAAGCCCCAGCTTTTGTTCCAGAAGTTTCACTGAAATTGTCCTGCTTTCAAAATAAACTTGCAGTTTTCCCCCTACTTTGAGAATAGTTTAAGTCAGTCAAATATTGTAATTCCTCCATCGCAGCAAGCGGTCACTCCTCCCTGGTGTATCTAGGCTGGCGCTGGCCTAAGCCAGAAGCAGACTTTGTAGCTGAGGTATGAGTGATCCAGAGATGTTGCCTTCAGAGACCTGGATCCAGGCGTCTGTGGGGGGCTGGAGCTCGAGGACACTAGTACTCCTAGCTTGTCCTGGGCATCTAGCACCCTGGGGAGTCAGCACCTCAGGACCTTGAGTGGGGGAGTGCACTCTCCCTGGGGAGAGCAGGGAGGCACTGAACTTGGTGTTGAGTCACCTTGGGGCCAGGGGATCTGGAGGGGGCTCCTGGTGTGGCCAGGTGTCCGCTCACTCTTGTCACAAGGGCTGGTATCGGACCTCACCTCCGCGTGTCCAGGCGTTTGTGTCCCATCGTGCTTCTTTGCAATGTGCACTTAGTAGCGCCTGCTGTATGTAGGCGTGTTAGGTGCTGGGGTTGCCTCTGAGTCTTTCTCCTCCCCTCCAGGCAAGAGCAGTGAGCGGAGCACCTACACCACCTTTGCAAGAGACTCAGGTGTTGGTGGTTTGACTCAGGTGAGGACACGGCCCCATAGGCACCCAGAGGTAGGCAGGGTGGGTAGCACCCCACTTTCTAGACTGGAGGGGACAGCATATCTAGATGCGACCTTGTTGGGATGACCCCTCTCTCATGGGTTGTAACTTTAAGCAAATTAATCAGTTCGTCCCTTTGGTCTATAGGTAGATCCATGGCTGAACTGAGTTCTGGTCACTCTAGCAGCTAAGATAGGACCTTGCCCTGGGTCAGGCCAGGGGTAGAAAGGAGCAGAGGGGACCTAGGGAAGGTCTTGGCCCCCAATCCACGGCCCTTTCTCCCTGGGTACCCTGTGCACAGCCAGAGGGGCTGAGAGAAACACTCACCCACCCCCAGTGCCAGACAGGAAGCCCAAGCCTGGCTCCGCTCCTCCCTGGCTGACCCATGGTGCAGCCTCAGCACCTCTGCCCTGTGCCTTTCAGGGAACCCACCCTACGGGCCACCAAGTACGACAGAATTCTCACTCATGCCCACCTCAGCTACAGTGATCCCAGCATGGCCTCCAACCCTCGGGCCCTCTCCCATGTGCTTGTGGGCCTCATTTTTGTTCCCACTGTTGACTCTCCTGAACCGCAGTTATGAAGTAAATGGTGCCGCTGTTGGTCCCCAACACCTCAGGCCACAGAAACACAGCTCCCCATGGCCAGGGATGGTGCAGAGGGCACTTCTGAGGGTCACTGTCATCCCTCCTGATCCAAGTGGTGTGAGCCTTCACAGTTGTCCTCTCTCTTGACCAGAGTTGAGCTGGGGCCAGGCACCGGCATAGCTTCTACTGACATCTCCTTACGCCCTCCCCCAGGCTGGCTTCCTACCCAGCGAACTGACCCTCGGCAGCCCCGGGCCACTGTCCCCCTCAGGTGTCAAGGGTGGTTCCCAGTATTATTCCTCCTACCCTGGGCACCCTCGGCGGAGAGCTGCAGATGGCAACCTGGGTGAGTAGGGTGACCGGGAGGCTAGGAGGATAGCGGTGGGGGGGTGGGCACTCTCTGTGCTGTTGGGTGCTGGCTGGACGCTGGGAGGCACAGACAGCAAACCAGGAAAGAAGCAAACACGGCCGATTCTGTCACTCATAGAGGTCGTGTTCAGACCACAGGTTTCCCAAAACACCCGGTTAGCTCACAGAATGGGGGTTCGGGGTTGGGTGTCTGCCAGGACTCCGCCTGGTGCTGTGTTTCTGTCAGAAGACGCTCATCTAATACTCATGCATGGTGCCCTGTGCGCAGGACCTGCAGGTGGCTCTCCTGAGCTCTCCACGGGAGCACAGAAAATGGGACAGGCAGGACATTCAGTCGACCCCAAGAAGGACTCTCAGTCCAGTCTGGGTGGTTCCACCTCTACTGACACGAGCATGTCTTTCACGGCTCTGTGCAAATAACCACAGGCGTGCCGAGTCGCATGGCTCAGCAGTGGGTGGGTGAATTCGTGAATTTGAATCTGGCTCTGTGAAAGATAAGAATGGTCGGGGGGGGGGTGCGTGACGGCAGTAGTAGAGTCCTGGCCCCCACCCCAAATTCTCACATGTCTTTAGGCCTGTGCACGAGCCGAGGCTTGAAGTCGTTTTATGAAAAGGGATGCTCAGGAATCTCTTCTCTGAGGTGCAGAGTTGGGACTTTTCTCCTGACCCCCTCGCCAATGACCGTTGTCTTCCCGGGGGGCCACTCAGCCCCTCCTTTGCATCCCTACTGGATGGGGCCAGGTGAGGTGCTCACTCCTCTTATTCCTGATAGATGTGCAGCCCAAGAAGGTCCGGAAGGTTCCTCCAGGCCTCCCGTCCTCGGTGAGTCATGGACTGGGACAGGGACCCCCAAAGTCAGGTGCCTCTTGTACCTCTAAACTTGGGGCCTAGAGGCACAGAGGCACAAGGAAGGTCTGGGAACACCACTCCACTTAGGGTTCTGAGCTGAAATCCCACAGCTCTACTGAACTCGCTCAAGGTTTCCTCTTGGACCTTCAAGCGAGTTGGGAAGGTTCTGTCTTCTCTCTAGTCTCGATCCTTTTTTTTTTTTTAATTTTTTTTAATTATGGCTTTATTTTATTATTATTATTTTTAAGACTTACTTTATTTATTTATTTATACAAGCAGTGGGTACAGTCAGAAGTGCAGGAGGGTGAGAGAATTCACCAGAGCCAGAGCGGGGAGCAGCGCAGGCAGAAGGACTGAAGTACACTGCTGAGGGGAGCGCGGGCGGCAGGAGAGGTCTGCGCGCCATGTGGGACCCTCCTCCGGTGGCCGGGGAGCAGCCGGGGATCGAACGGGCGCTGCAGAGGCTTTGGGCAGCTTCGCAACCCAGCGCTCAACCGCTGCGCCACCGGGGAGGCCCCTCGATCCCTCTTGCTTTAGGAGAAGGTCACCTCCTGTGGCCCAGGTGCTATAGAAAGGTTATGAAGGGGGATCCTGGGAGCTGGATCAGGCTGGAGGCCCCTTAGGGACTGTTGGAGAGGGTCCTCCTCTCCCTTAGTGGCTGTTTCAGAGGGTCCCCCTCTCAGCCTTGCCTCGGGATCTTCCCGGAACCCCTGCCATCTCCCACCCCATCCACTGGGGTTCAAGCTGCCCAATGTCCCCTCTGCCTGGCTGTTGGCTGGGTGCCAGATCAGCAGATGGTGTCAGGCCGTCAGTGGCTTAGAGCACTGTGCTCCTGCAATTTAATTATGTTGGAAAGAAGTACAATTTGCTGGATTCCCCTACTTGGCTTCGCTCTCTCTGCCATGGCCTCCAGGAGCCACGGGCCCACCTGGCTCATACCAAGCTCCGTGCTCAGGGTTAACATCAGAGGTTGACGCCTAACTGAAGGTGTGCAGTTCAGATGGTTTCAGACTCAACTCACAATGTCATCAGTTCCATTTTCTCACCTGTTTCCTTGAACATCAGAGCTAAAGAGTCCCCTGGACCCACTTTGTCCTGCCCAGCATTTAAACCCCGCTTTCTACTCCATTGCTGGAGCAGACGTGACCAGTTGATTCAACACTTTGCTGCAGCCTCAGACTGCCAGACTGAATTCTGACTCGGCAGGATTGCTTCTGATTATAGAACTCCTTTGCTGTCTTACTGTTCTGGGGCAGTCAGGGTGGAACATTAATCCAGGGACCTGCCTCTGAGCCTCCCCCCACCCTGGGGTGGTGTTGATCAGACCTGAGGCCAAGGGAAGTTCCAGCACTGGGGGGCAGAGAAGAAGGAAGCTAGGCTTTGATGCATCAATAGGAGGGAAAAGACATTCTGGGCAGGGAGTCCTGCAAAGCCCTAAGTGTGAGAGGTGGGAACTGGGGCACAGGAGGTGGGGTGTGGAGGAAGAACAGCAGAAGTAGAATCTGGTACTGTCTAAGCTTCAAGTGAGGCATGGTTTCAGGGGAACGGTTAGGCCAGGGCAGAGAAACAGGTGGGCGGAGTCAATTGCTGTTAAGACAGGGCCAGGACTGGGGTCAGGGCCAGCTAGGGGTGAGGGAGCAACCAGTTCCCAACCCACCTCCTGCCTGACCACCCCCGCCACCCCCTGCAGGTGTATCCACCCAGCTCAGGTGATGACTATGGCAGGGACACGGCCACCTACCCATCCACCAAGACCCCCAGCAGTGCCTACCCTGCCCCCTTCTACATGCCAGGTATGTGGGGGCCTGCCTGGGAGGCCTGGGGCTGGGTCTGGAGTCACTCTGCTCACACACGTCACCATCCCCCTCTCCACAGACAGCAGCCTGCACCCCTCAGCTGAAATCTGGAGTTCTTCAGGCCAAGCTGGCTTCGGACCTATGCTGGGTGGGGGCTCCTCCCCCCTGTCCCTCCCGACTGGCGGCAGCAACTCTGTGGGAAGCAACAGTGGCAGCGGGTTTGGCAGCCTGCACGAGCGCATGGTAGGCCCTGCCAGGTGGAGTGGGTGTAGACGGTTGGCAGTCGCTCTCTCTGACCCCCTCTGACTCCATCCTTACCCACAGAGCTACCAGCTGCATGGAGCGGAGGCGAACGGCGGGCTCCCAGCTGTGTCCACCTTCTCCTCAGGTCCCGCAGGCGCGTACGGCAACGTCTCCGGCCACACAACCCCTGTCAGCGGGGCCGAGAGCCTCATGGGTACAGCCCCCACCCCATCGCCTCACCATCTCTGTGCTGTAAACCTGGGTGGGAGCGGAAGTGTTCTACTGGACCCCTCCCCGCTCCCAGAGCTGGGCCCTTGTTATAAAGGATGTCCCGTCTGTCCTGAGCCCACCCCTGGACTCCGGACGCCTGGACTCCTCGGTGGGGCCCTGCCAGAGTTTGCAGTTAGCTCTTTGAGGAATGGGTTTTCCATTTTATAGCTGGGGAAACAGGCTCACAAAGGGGAACTGCTCACCCAGGGCCCACTGGCCTCTGTGAGGACATGGAGATGTCAGACAAAAACTACACCAAGTTGGAGGCTGCTGAGTGCGGGACAGTTTACCAACAGAAACTCCCCATCACCTGGGGCGTCCAGGCTGGGGCACCATGTCCTGGCAAGCAGCCCTGGGGTTGAGCTTCATCTCTCTCCTCCACAGGCTCCCGTGGGACCACAGCTGGCAGCTCTGGGGATGCCCTTGGGAAGGCACTGGCCTCGGTGAGGCACAGGGTGTGGGGGTGGCAGGTGTGACCCAACTGGCAACCCCAAGAGCAGGCCCCTGACTGACCCCTGGTGGCCTGTGTCTCTCATCCCTGTCGCAGATCTACTCTCCGGATCACTCCAGCAATAACTTCTCCTCCAGCCCCTCAACCCCGGTGGGCTCCCCACAGGGCCTGGCAGGTCTGTACAAGGCTGTACAGGGAATGGGATGCTCCTGGTGCCCAAAGCCCTAGGTGGGTGGGTGGTGGGTGGAGAGTGGTCAGGGATGAGGGAGTGGACAGACCTCTCTGCCTTGTATCTAGCTCATGTTTTTGTGGGCATCCAAGAAGTCTTCCTGGTGAAGGTGACTTCTAAGCCAGTGCTCTTAGGTCAAAGCCTGGACAAAGACCAGGAGGCAAAACTTGTAGCTTTCACCGTGTGAGCACGGGGACCAGTGGAATCCAGCCAGGACTGAGAACAGGTCCAGCCCTAGCCTGGACTTGAAACATGCACATGTTGGTGTTTGGCCACCCACAGATAATAGTTAGGGACCAACTGTATGTGCTGTGCTTGGCTCCCCAAGGAGGCTAGGTCCTTCGTTTGTCCCCACAAGGACACGCCGGGGCAGTGTGAGAACCAGTGGTTTCTCGAGGGCGTGGATAGTTACGTTAAAAGACCTCACCTTGACCTGTCCTGCCCTATCCCTGCATCTGTAACCATTTCGCTGCTCTGGGAAGAGCCAGCTTCCAGAGCACCCACTGTGCCCCGCTAAGCCACCTTTCCTCTGGGGGGATAGAGGGTGGGCTGTGGGTTGTAAATGGTACAAATGGAACCCCAGTAACCCTGCCTGGCAATAGAACCCCCTTGAGCCCCTAAGAATGGCTGTGTAGGTGTGGGCGCCCCCATGTGGTCAGGACTCCACAGCACTTCTTTCTCTCCCTGGGCCCTTGGACACCTGTTTGCTTCATGTCCTCCGATTCATGGCTCCTCTCTCACTTCCAGGGACCTCTCAGTGGCCCCGAGCAGGAGCCCCTGGTGCCTTATCGCCCAACTACGATGGGGGTCTACACAACCTGGTGAGTGTCCTTCTGCAGCCTGGGGCAGGGGCCACAGGTAACTAGGGGAAGAGGGTAACTAGGGTGCCTGCATCCTTGTGTAAGGGTCCGGGGTGGAGGCGTGTGTGGGTGTGCTCAGGTCCTCTGTGGCCATGTCTCACGTGGTTGAAACCTGTCCGTAAGAAAGCTGTTTGATCTTGTGTGGCCGGCGGAATTATCAACAGGACAGATGCTCTCTAACGGAGACAAGTTTTTGAGTTAATTTGTTGGGAATAGTGGCTGAAACTATTGCTGCGGCCCGTAGCCAGTGAGGGTGCTTGTTCTGAGCTAGGCCCAATCTCAAGAAGACATAATTTTCAGCCACTTCTTGCCTGTGCCAAAGGGGTTCTGTGTGCTCTTGCTGGCCTAGGCTCTTGACCCCCTACCCCCCGCCCTGCAGCAGAACAAGATGGAGGACCACCTGGATGAAGCGATCCACGTGTTGCGCAGCCATGCTGTGGGTACAGCAGGCGATGTGCATGGGCTGCTGCCTGGCCATGGGGCACTGGCCTCAGGCTTTACCGGCCCTGTCATGTCATTGAGCGGGCGGCACGCCGGCCTGGTGAGTGCTGGGCTGTGCTGGGCAGATGGGTGGGCAGCGGGACCCTGGACAGTGTTGACGAACCTGCTGCCGTCTGCAGGTGGGAGGCAGCCACTCAGAGGATGGCCTTGCAGGCAGCAGCAACCTCATGCACAACCACGTGGCCCTTCCTAGCCAGCCCAGCGCTCTCCCTGACCTCCCTCGGCCACCTGACTCCTACAGCGGTAAGGAAGCCCTTTTTCAGATCTGCCACTGGACATCAATCCCCAGCCACATTCCTCTGGAAACAGGGATGCAGAGGGGCCTTACCACCCAGAGACCAGGCGCTACAGCGCTGGGCTGAAGGTGTTCTTTGCCAGGCACAGATCTGGGATGCCAATGGCACCTGCCAAAACCTTAAGCATCCCACAGACTTGGGACTGTCTGACACCCCCTCCCCAATTTCCATTTGAAGCACATGAGGCACAGTGGGAATGGGAGAGGGTGGGACTGGACAGGTGGGGTCACCATTGGAATTTGGCACCGTCACCCAGTTGCTCCTGTCGGAAGGCAGACAGGTCCAACAGACGCTGAGGTAGGGGGTGTGCAGGTGCTGCCCTGATCACAGCTCAGCTTTCCTGTTGACTCGTTTAGTGAGCTAAGGATTGTGCCCAGGCGGCGGCCATGCGCCTGCACTGCATAGCAGCAGTGGCACCCCCAGCACTCTTCCAGGCCCTGGGGAATCAACCCGGGAGTCCGGCAGAAAAAGCCCCTGGGCTAGGGGAGGGTATAATATACTCAGCGGTGGGGAGACTGACCATGAGCTAAAAACTAAAGACAGACACTGTGGAAAATATGTGGAGGGGCTGGCTTTGGTTGGGGGGCTGGGGGCAGGGGGGTGTGTGTGTGGTTCAAAGACGGTGGGAGCAGGGCCAGATTGTGATGTTTGAGCAGAGCTGGGGAGGAGCAGCGGCAGCAGACACTTGGGGGACGCTTATGCAAAGGCCCTGGGTCAGGACTATGTTGAAGGAACCATGAAGAGGCCATAGGGCCTGCAGGGCCCTGGGTGTAGGAGGACGTGGACTTTGACACCAAGGGACAGATGAGGGAGCCATGGAGGGCTGTGGGCAGAGCAGATGCACTAGACTCAGTGCTACAGGCCTCCCCTGGTGGCTTCCGACAGCATCGCAGGTGGTGCTAGGAGACCTGAGCAGAGGGAGTGGGGCTGCAGTGGTCCGGGCGGGATTAGGGGTAACTGGGGCACATGGTGGAGACAGGCCTGGCCATGGGCTGCAGAGGGCAAGCCAAAGACAGGTTCTGAAGGTGGAGCCCACAGGATTTGCAGGTGTGGAGAAGGCAGTGGGATTGGAGGCTGGCGTTCGACGCCAGGTCCTGGCAGCGTTGGCATGTCACAGAGTTAGAACCTGGGGCCTGAGTGGCGTCTCCAGAAGCGCATGGACTGAGCTGGGGTAGGCCATCGGGGCAGGTGAAGGAGGACAGACTGTGTCAGATGCCACAGGGACAGCCCAGGCTGGCCTGTGGGGCCTGGTCACAGGGTGGAGTTCGGGGGAGTCACCTGTCCAGAGCGGCCCACGCTCATGTCAGCAGCATTAAGTCTCTTTTCCTTGGATTCCCTTTTTCCTTCCTTCCTTCTGTGGTAGCCCAGGCCCTTCCCCATGGTCAGTACTACCAGTTAAATGTTAGTGTGGTTGAGACTTTGATGTAGCTGTGTATGCTTCAGTCATGTATTTTGTTTAAATGGCTGGACTTTGCCAGGTTGACGACCTGCCAGCACCATCTCCAGCCATGTTTGCTCCCTCACCCATTGGATGGGATGTTCTGACCCTGCCGTGGTGTTAGGGCGTCTCCACTCTGTGTTCATGCCAGGGGCTTTACAGATGTTCCCAGATAAATCTTCTGATGCATACATGCAAAGTCCTTGGGTGGGATTCCAAGTTATGAAATTTTGGGGTTCATGTGTCCCCTTTTCTCAGATGTTGCCAGTTGTTTTCGAAAGTGACCTTACTAATGCCTTCCCTTGAGCACTGTCAAGAATTTTCAGGCGTACCTATTTAGCTGGCAGAGGGGTACAAGCTTATTGTGGCTTGATTTGCATTTCCTGAACTTCCAGATGCAATGAAGTAAGTTTCTGTAAAACGCCTGTTCACGTGCTTTGCCTGTTTTCCTATTGAGCTATGTGTCCTTTGCTACTGATTTTTAGGCAGTGCCTATTTTGGAAACCAGTTCTTTTTTTTTTTCTTCACAGATTCATTTATTTATGCATACAAGAACTGGGGTACAGGCCAGAGGTATGGGGGGTGAGAGGACTCACCGGAGACAGAGTGGGGAACAGAACAGGTAGATCCACTGAAATATACCTCTGAGGGGAGCAGCGGGGAGACAGGAGAGGTCTGCTGCACCATGTGGGTCAGCTCCCTGGCTGGGGATGGAACTCGTGCTGCAGTGGCTGCCAACAGCTTCACAGCGCTCTGCTTAACCCCTTGTGCTACCAGGGAGGCCCTGGAAACCAGTTCTTTACTGGTTTACATTGGTTTTCTAGCTTGTGTTCTGTGTATTTATTTTGATGGTGTCTTCTCATGATTAGAAATGTATAATCTGAAATTTGACAAGTTGACTTTATTGACTTGTGTTTCTTTGGAGAACAGCTCCTGTAGTGTCTTTTTCTTTTTTTTTTTTTTTTTTAAATTTTCTAGAGGCATGTCTTATTTCTTTACTTATTTGTTTGTTTTGTTTTTGGTTTATACATGCACTGGGTACAGTCAGAAGCGCGGGAGGGTGAGAGAACTCACCAGAGCCAGAGCAGGGAGCAGAGCAGGCAGAGGGACTGAAGTACACTGCTGAGGGGAGCAGCGGGCGGCAGGAGAGGGCTGTGCACCATGTGGGACCCTCCTCCGGAGGCCGGGGAGCAGCCGGGAATCGAACCGGCGCCTCAGAGGTGGCGGGCAGCTTCGCAACCCAGCACTCAACCGCTGCGCCACTGGGGAGGCCCTCCTGTAGTGTCTTAAGAAATAGTTCCCTGGGCCTCCCTGGTGGTGCAAGGGCTTAAGACGCAACCTGTGAAGCTGTCTGCAGCCTCTCCAACATTAGTTCGATTCCCCGGCTGCCAGGGAGCAGTTGCCCACATGGCGCAGCAGACCTCTCCTGTCTTGCCCGCTGCTTCCCTCCGCAGTGTGCTTCGGTCAGTCTGCCTGTTCTGTTCCCCACTCTGTCTCTGGTGAATCCTCTCACCCCCCATACCTCTGGCCTAAACCCCAGCTCTTGTATGCATAAATAAATAAATCTTAAAAAAAAAAAAGGCAGTAGTTCCCTGCCCTTAACTCATGAAGGGGGTGTTCATGCACTTCCCACTGAAGGCTGTAAAGTTTGGCCTTCCCCATTTGGTCCTTAATCTTTTGGAATTGGTGTATGGCCTGGGTGTGGTGTGAGGTAGAGATTAGATTTTAGTTTGTTAGGGTTTTTTTAGTAAATGAAGGCCTGCATGTCCCAGGAGCGCTCAAGTTCGCCCTGGCGAGCCAAAAAGGATTTGTCAAGTAGCCCCAAAGTCTGCCCAGCAGCTGACTCCCAGGCCTGTTGCAGGACTCGGGTGCACGAGCACCTCAGGTGCTGGCGAGATCAAGCGGGAGGAGAAGGAGGATGAGGAGAACATGTCGGTGGCTGACAACTCTGAGGAGGAGAAGAAGGAGCTGAAACACCCCCGGACCCGGACCAGGTGCCAGCCCCTCCTTGGCCCCTCCCTGCCCTCCCCGTCAGGACTCACGCACACACGCACATGCACACAGTACCCACACTGCGAGGTTGTCGGCAGGCCCCTCGCCTGTCCCCCTGCCTCACTGTCTCCCTCTGGCCCCCTGGCCCCCTCCCCCGTAGCCCGGACGAGGACGAGGACGACCTTCTCCCCCCAGAGCACAAGGCTGAGCGGGAGAAGGAACGCCGGGTGGCCAATAACGCCCGGGAGCGGCTGCGGGTCCGAGACATCAATGAGGCTTTTAAGGAGCTGGGGCGCATGTGCCAGCTGCACCTCAACAGTGAGAAGCCCCAGACCAAACTGCTCATCCTGCACCAGGCCGTGTCGGTCATCCTGAACCTGGAGCAGCAGGTGCGAGGTCAGTGGGGGCGCTGCTCCCTCCCCTGCCGCTGCCTTGCTCTCCCCCCAGCCAGCCTCAGCCTGTCCCTGCCTGGATCACCCCCTGCAGTGACTGCCACCCTGCCACGACTGCCCCCCACAGTGACCACCTCTCCCTCCAGGACTGTCCCTATTCGAGATGGCACCCCTGCAGGCTGTCCCCCACAGCACCACCCCTGCAGGGACTGTCCCCGCAGACTGTCTCCCACAGTGACTGTCCCCTGCAGCAGCTTCCTCATATACACGGCAACCATCTCCACCCCCCCCCCCCCCACCATACACACAAGCACTGACTGAGCCCTCACCTGGCCTGGCCCCATGTCCACTCTGAGATGGAAGAATGAGTCTCTCTGAACCCTCTGCCCCGCAGACTTGGGCCCTTTGCCTCAGAACTGCATCCTGGGAACAGAGTCCCTGCCACCCCAGCCCTCCCTTCTCAGAGGCCCAGAGCCCCGCCAGCAGGGGCCTTGGCCAGGGTCAGTGCTGGTGCTGAGCACACCCATATCAGGGCCATGTGAGCTGGTCAGCCTCACACTCCCTTGTGCACGGGGGTTCATCTACACACTTCCCAGCACTGGGCATGGACAGGGGATCCCTGTGACCTGGCTCTTTCCCTCCCTCCTTCCTGCTGGCCAGCTGCTTCCTTAACCCCTCCCCTCCTGCGTGGCCGTTAACCCTTTCTCTCCTGCAGCGCTGTCGCTTGGACCGGAGCTGGGGCCCTGGCCTGCCCCGCCCGCTGTCCCCTCAGCTCTGAGGTTTCCACGTCTCCACGGTGGTATGGGCGTCAGCTGTTGTCCCCGTGCCGCCTCTCTGCTCTCTGCTCTCTCCCTCTCCCTCTCTCTACCCGGCTTGTCCGTCTCCTCACTTCCCACAGCAGCCCCTCCTCACCTCGCACTTGCTGCCCGAGCACCAGAAGGCCAGGTGCCCCTCAGACCTTTCCTCCCACAAAGTCCCCCTCAAATCCCCCAGGGGGCTTGAGGGAAGAAAAGACATGAGGCCTATGCCAGCCTCCAGTCTGACTGTCAGTTTGGTCTGCGTGCTTGTCCTGGGCTCCAGGCTGCTGCCACTGAAGGAGTCCATTCAGGCCCAGAGGAGAAAGGGTGAGCCAGTGGGCGAGAGCAGGTCCCAACCCCTCAGAGGACAGGGCAGGCATGTGAGCCAGCACAGTTCCCTGGCTCCCCCTTCTTAGGGACAGACAGTGCCGCATGTCACCACCACCAGGGTGGAGCTGTCCTCGCTGTCATTAGCCTTGTCCTGCCGAGGAGTCCACGGCACAGGCAGTCAAGTGTCTTGGCCACAGCCACGTCGCTGACAGCAGAGCCCAGAGATCCAGGTGCAGTGCTGCCTGCCCAGAGGGAGCCGGGGAGGGCTTGTAGCAGCAGGTGCCCGGCCCGGCCCCGCTTCCCGGGCGGCCAGAGCCCACCATGGAAGCACAAATTCCTCAGGCCCTCCAGAGGTGCAGGGAGGTGCGCTGGTTGCTCCTGTGGGGGTCGGGTACCCTCAGCCCTAGAGCGCTCCCACATGTCCATTCTGGGGCCAGGCCTTTGCCTGCAGAGCCACCACCTCTCTGCTTCTCCCACTGGTGCCAGTCAGGCTAGATTCAGCTGCCGCCCCACCAGCAAGTCCTCTGACAGGGAAGGTTATAGTCCCCGGAGGGCCTCCCACTGGGGTCCCTGCCTTCCTGAGCATGTGGGATGAACCAGGGTGAGGGACAGGTGAGGACATTGAGGCAACCCCACAAAATGCCCTGTAGTCAGGCCTGAGGGCCCCCCTGGATATGCCCACACACCGCCTCACCTAGAGCTGGCACTGAAGCACACACACTGGGCAGCCACCGCACATGCAGCAGGCACACCGCGAGCATCTGCTCCAGGGACTACGTCTCGGGCAGGCACACCTGCTTCTGTGGAAGCGCGCACACAGCACACGCACCACTCGGCTGTGCCCACCGACACAACGCGCACCCTCGCTGTGGCACCTGCCCACGCTGCTGCGCCACCGACACCAACCCAGGCAGCGGAACCCTCACCACCCCAGCCCCACCCCCGCCCTGGCCCATGACTAATGGAGCCCCCGGTGCTGTGACCCAGCAGTACGGAGGAGGTGCTGTCCCTGGAGGAGAAAGACCTGAGGGACCGGGAGAGGCGTATGGCCAATAACGCGCGGGAGCGGGTGCGTGTGCGGGACATTAACGAGGCCTTCCGGGAGCTGGGGCGCATGTGCCAGATGCACCTCAAGTCGGACAAAGCACAGACCAAACTGCTCATCCTGCAGCAGGCCGTGCAGGTCATCCTGGGCCTGGAGCAGCAGGTGCGAGGTAGGCGCCCAATCCAGGTCCCCAAGCCCCCTCCCTGCCCATGTGCAGCTGTTGGGGACCCTGTCCACATCTCTGGTGGGCTCAGGCTCTGCAGTGTCCCCAGAACACCAGCTCTGTTATCTGCAAACCCCTAAGTTTCCAGTCTTGGGGCTAAGTCAAGAAATAGCTACATGTGCAGGACCCTTGTTTCCACCTTGTAACTCTTCTCTGATGCCCTCCTGATACCCTGCCCCGCACCTCATGTTCTCCCTTTCTGGAGACCCTCTCCCATAGTGCTCTCTCCCCCCCCCCCAGAGCGTAACCTGAACCCCAAAGCGGCCTGCTTGAAGCGACGAGAAGAGGAGAAGGTGTCTGGTGTGGTCGGAGATCCCCAGATGGTGCTTTCGGCTGCCCACCCTGGCCTGAATGAGGCCCACAACCCCTCTGGGCACATGTGAAGTGCCCCATGGGACAAGCCGCCTGGCCCTGGACCCGCTCCCGGGGCAGGTCTCCATCCTCCCTGAGGCAGGACGGGCCTGCCTCACCCATGCCTGTGCTCAGCGTGGCACCAACACTGACCTGAGGACACTACGCGTGATGGGGTGATGAAGGGAACCCCAGCCCTCGCACTCCACCCCGGGTCTCAGCCTCCTTGGCGCTCTGGGCCCTGCCCAGTGGACCCTGAAGCTGCACCTCAGCCCTGCAGCCCAGGCTTGGACTGGAAGGACTTTTTTTTTTAACCAGAAAGCAAATAAGAAAGACCCACTTTGTCAGAGAAGAAATGCCTTAAATAATAAAGCGTGCAAGAGATAAACACGTCACTCGCAGAGGGAGATGCTGTGCAAACTGGCTTGTTCTTCAGAAGCCACCAGCAATTGTGCCTAAGCCGAATATTTTTTTTAAGGAAAATTTAAAAAAAGTTACTCATGAGATTTTTTTTTTTTATTATTATGTAGAGAAAAACTAGGAGACTACGTTTGGGCTTTTTTTTTTTCTTTTTTTTTTTTTTTTTTTTTTTAGCTTTTTTTGCATATGTTTTGTAAGCAACAGAATTTTTTGTATAAAACTCATGTCTTGCTATTACTGCTGTTTCTAGAATTAAGTGCTGGATTTCATGATCAACCAGATTATTAAAAATTGTGTTAAAAAGAGCCAATGTAAACCGAGGTTCCACCCGCACCCCATGCGTGGAAGCTTTGGGACACAGAACCTGGGGTAGAGTGGGGAGGGGAGGAGAAGTGTGTGTCTCCTGTTCGGCTTTTCAGGGGGTGGTTTTCTTGGTTTTGCTGAGTATCAAGTGGTGGGTGGGCCCTTCTTTATTGGGGGTCCTCTGTCCCCATTAGGGGGACACCCCGGACCCCTCCTGGTGAAATTACCAAGGACCCCGAAAGCAGCTTAGGTCCCCCAGGCATCCCCTGATAGCTTCTGAGGACCAAGCAGCCTGTCCTCTCAAGCCACAGACCTCTGAAACAGGGTTTTGTTGGGACCAGTATTCCTTGGCAGGAACCATGTAACTGGACCACGGTGCTGGGAATCCCCGCAGACCTTTCCTGTGACGGGATGGGATGAGGTCACAGAGAGACTCTTGCCACCCATGTAGTGTGGTGCAAGGCTGGAGCCAGGGCTGGTGCAAGGGAGCCGCCATGTGTGCCATGACTCATCCAGCCTGCCTGAGTCCCTTTCTCTGGTCTTGTGTGACACCAGGAGCTTTAAAACCAAACCCAGTCTTCCTGGAATCCTGTGGTCCCAGGGAGATCACACAGTTGTCACCCTGTGTCACCCACATGGGGTGACAGCTATGGGGTCTCAGCTTCTTTCCCTTTACCACCTGCAAAGGGGCCTTATGCACCCCAATGCTGGTCAGCATCTCAGGCATCCCCCCCATACCCTTATGCTGCCCTGGACTCACCCTGGGACTGGAATCCCTGAGGCTGCATAAGTGGATGCCAACCAGGAGCTTAAGGAAACCCCAAGGCCAATGCCAGGCACGATGGCCTCCTCACCCCTACTTCGATGAGCCAGTCCTTTGTGGGGACGACTTAGTGACTCCACTTGGTCTGTGTGTGTCTAATGAGAAGCCCATCTCCATTTTCCTCTACTTAGCTTCTGGGCTTGCTGATAGGTACAGAGGGGAGGGGTTGGGACCTCAGAGATTATTCCAACATGGGGGCAGGTAGCACTGGGAGAGGGAGACCATGGTTGTGTCCTGGGTACCGTGAGAAACTTTTCAAAAGTTTTTTTTAAAGAGTTTATACAAGTGTCAACATAGCTGGCTGGATTATTTGAATTTTTTAATGATCCTCTTTGAAGGTCAATTTGAAAATCTCTCCTGTATGTAACAGCACTGTAGCAATAAATGTGACATCATGAAATGTTCCGATCTTTCAGCTGCTGTGTGCTTAGAAGTGACAATTGGGGGTCAGAAAAGGGATGCCTTCAACTAGTGGCCCCTTGTGTCCACATCACAAGGAAATAGCTTAAATGACTTGAGGTGTCCCACTGAAGATGGCACTGGGCGGGGGGGCCTCCCTGGTAGTATAGGGGTTGAGTCTCAGCGCAATCACGACTGAGGCGTGAGTTCGATCCCCGGCCAGGGAGCTGACCCACATGGCGTAGCGCACACCTCCTGTTTCGCTTGCTGCTCCCCTCAGCAGTGGGAGCAGTAGATCCTCCTGTTCTGCTCCCACTCTGGTGAGTCCTCTCACCCCCCGCTCCTCTGGCTTACACCCCAGGTCTTGTATGAGTACATAAATAAAAATAAGTATTAAAAAAAAATAAAGACAGGGGCCTCCCTGGTGGTGCGAGGGGTTAAGTCTCAGCACTATGAAGCTGTCCGCAGCCGCTGCAGCACGAGTTTGATCCGCCACCAAGGAGCTGACCCACATGGCGCGCAGACCTCTCCTGCCTCAGCGCTGCTCCCCTCAGCAGTGGATTTCAGTAGATCCACTTGTTCTGCTCCCCGCTCTGTGATGAACCCTCCCTCCCTCCCTCCCTCTCTCTCTCTCTCTCTCTCTCACACACACACACACACACACCCCCCGCACCTCTGACCCGTACCCCAGTTCTTGTATGCATAAATCTTAAAAAAGAAAGGCAAGAAAAATAGGTTCAAATCTCACCCTGGGCACGTCCCTTCCCGGTTAGGTCTGCTTTCTTAACTGTAAAAACCGTTTTGGAACACAGTAAAAGCACAAAGTTGCACTCAACTATTATGTGCCCACGTCGGGGCGGCCACTCGGTGGCGGGTCACTGACCACAGACGCCGGGAGACACCCGCGGCCCGCGCCGGACACGCGCCCACGAGCCCCGCCCGGGGCCTCCCCTCGCTCCGCAACCTTCGAGGTTTCCCCGCCCCTCCCGGAAGTTCCTGGAGGAGTAACTACTTTTCGGGGCTGCGCGCGCAGCACGTGTGGGCGGAGCCTCTCCTCCGCATGCGCACTTCGGCGGCCGCGCCTGCGCCCCGCGGGCTTGTTGGAAGGGCCGGGGTCACCCTGAGCTGCCGCCGCTGCCAGGATGCTGACCAGGTTCCTGGGCCCGCGCTACCGCCAGCTGGCCAAGAACTGGTGAGGACGCGGCGCCCGCCCCTCCGCCCGCCCCTCCTGCCCTTGCCCGTGCCGCCACTGCCGCGACCCTCGCGGGTGCTGTCCCGAGGCTCGCAGAGGCGGAGCGTCTGCCCCAGGCCCACGCACAGGGGGCGGGGGGCCCGGCCTCCGGGCCGCGCGCCTCTGAACCCGCTTCCCCGGCGCTGCCGAGGGCCGGGTCCGGTGCCCGACGGGCGGACACACCTCGGCTCTTCAGGCCTGCAAACGGGATCTGTACGCGCCTGGCCTTTTTTGTAACTTATGACACTGAACAGGAGCGTGAAAGGGATGGCGATGCTTGCCTCTGCCTCCACGTGGAGGCCGGGGTGGGGGTCGAGGGGACGCCTGGTGGGAGGCTCAGGATTGGGGCGACCTGAGCCCGGGGTGTCCGCTCGCGTCTACATCACGCGCCGAGGAACAGTGGCTTATACTTGGCAGTCGTGTCCCTGATCCCGGGCAGGGAGTGCCCTGTGGGGCTGTTTCTGCACAGTGGAGCTGGTTACACTATAGGAGGCCCTACAGTTACACACTGGCTGTGGCGCTTTACAGCTGCGTGAGGTCTGGGGCCATCCCAGGTGTCAGCGTGAGAATCACGGGCATCCATGCAGCCCCTCCAGCCGTCAGCTCAGGACTCCCCAGGCAGGGGGCTTGGTTCCCATCTGTGCTTGGGTAGAGCACGTCCCCAAGGCTCCCGGTCACTTACCAAGCGCTACTGTGTGCTCGCTACTATGTGCTGGTCTCTAGTGCCCAGGAAGGCTGCTGAGGAAAAGAAAACAAATGAGGTTTATGAGTTAAGGCTAAGCTAAAATAGAAAAGGGGAGGGGGCGTGCGGGGAACTGCTGGCGGGCTTGCAGCGGAGTCCCACAGCCTCCGGCTTCTGGGAGACAGGTTTGTGTCTGAGATTCAAGACTTTGAATCTAGCCCCATGCCCCAAAGCCCTGGTGTCCTCTGAGAAAGGGGAGAAGAGGTGGGTGAGGGTGTGACAAGGAAATGCCTTGAGGGATATCAGTGTTTTAGTCTCAGCATCCCTCCTCGGTACCTGTGGGAGTTCACGTTCACAGTTGCTTCCCTCCTTATGCATGTCCACAGGGTACCCCGGGGGGTGACCAGGAAGATGGCCAGGCAGAGGCGCCGCTGGCCATCAGTAGTCCTCAGCACTGTTGAGCTGTAGGCGGGTCCTTCTCTGTTGGACACTTGACACTGCCTGGTGTGATATCAGCAGTCATCCCCAACCCCACCGAGGCACACCGTTGAGTCACGTGGGCCATGTGCAGAGAGTGGTTTGGTAGGCACCTTGGGGCAAGGTGGGGAGCAGCTGGTCATTTCCCTGTGGAAACAGGCCCTTCTACTACGCGCCCCAAGGAGCAGCCTCTCTGATATACCAGACAAGGGGGTTGTGATGATCCAGCAAGGAGGGGACCTGGGTTCAAATTTCGGCCCTTCTCAGCCTGTGGTGGGATCTGTCATGTCATCTCTCACTGTGGAGCAAATGACCCCCAGAGTTAGCAGCTTGACAAGCAGTCATTATCTCACAGTTTCTGAGGGGTAGGAATTAGGGCAAAACTTAGCTGGTCCCCTGCTCAGTCTCAGGAAGCTGCAGTCCCCCCTTTCCATGCTCACACCTGTATTGGAGGCCAGGGCCAGCTCACGGCATGGTGGCAGGGTCCCCACAAGGGGAGTAGTGCCCGTGATGGGAGCTGCTGTCTGTAACCCCACCTGGGAATGGACTCCTGTTACCTCTCTTACTCATTGCAATGGGTCCTGCTCACACTCCAGGGGCCGGGCCAGATGGGTGCTGGTGTGACCACCGGGAGGTGGGACTGTCCCGGCCATCCTGGACTCAGTTCATGCCACGTTTACCTCCTGAAGTGGGCAGGCGCTGGTGGGTACTGGGAGCCCCACCCAGGCTCTTTGCTTGCTGCCCGCATTCGCAGTGACTCAACTGCCCTGTTCTGCTGTGTAGACAGAATCTTGATGGTCGAACCCCTGTGGGGTCTATCTAACCTGTCTGTCGCGGGGTAGGCAGTTGCTATAAGCCTCATCAGTGGCGCCTGCGTGCCAATATTACCTGTTGTTGTGATACTTACAGACTTTTGTGTTTAGCAGCAGAATGTCTAAATAAAACTGTAGGCAGGTCCCAGCATGAAAGCAGATGCGTGTGGAGTCGCATAGACATAGGCAAGGTGGGGACCCAAGATCATCCTGCCCCCCTGCCCAGGCCCTCTGCTTGAGCAACCTCAGAGCCCTCTGCCTCGGGGATCATCAGAGGGATGTGTGCACACTCTGCGCAGGGGCCAGACTTACGGTGGGTGCTGGGGTGGTGAGGGACCAGCTGTGTGGCTGGAAGATGAGTCCCGAGCAGGGCCTGACCCCTTGTCCCCTCACAGGATTCCCACGGCGGGTATGTGGGGTGCCGTGGGCGCCGTGGGGTTGGTGTGGGCCACTGACTGGAGGCTGATTCTGGACTGGGTGCCCTACATCAATGGCAAATTTAAGAAGGACAGTTAATTAAAGCAATCCTCCAAGGACCCCTCTGGTAAGTTTTGGCGCTGTCGGTGGGTGAACCCCAGGGAGTGGGCTTGTACAAGGCAGTTGTTTCTGGGGCTGGGGCCTTGGGGGGGCTCACCTAGGCTGTTCACCCTGGAGAATCCTGCCTGAGTGTGGAGCTCTGGGTTGGGGTCCCCAGACGCTGAGCTGCAGGTGACTAGCCTCTCACCTTTAGGGGTGGCCTGCCCCATAGTGCTCCATCCTATAGGCTGACCCGACCCCACACCGCGCTGCAGCCTCAGGAGGCCAAGCCCTGGCTGGGATGGAGGGGCACCCTGTTTCATAGGTGAGGGCAGGGGAGGCTGGCCCACAGCTGCCGGCGCTTGGAACATTAATGACCCTTTGGACTGGTCCGTTTGTCTCTGCTGTGCCAGCCGCGTTGCCCGTGTTGCTACGTCTCTGTCCATGTGACTGTGCGCCTGCCCCTTCATCACCGTCACAGGTCACAGAGGGGGGCCTCAGGCCCCCAGCCACCAAACTACTAAGCGGCCACTTTATTTATTTAAAGATTATTTATTTATGCATACAAGAACTGGGGTGCAGGCCAGAGGTGTTGGGGGGCGGTGAGACCATTCACAGAGACAGAGTGGAGAGCACAACAGGGGGATCCACTGAAGTACACTGCTGAGGGGAGCAGCGGGGAGCCAGGAGAGGTCTGCCGCGCCATGTGGGTAGCTCCCTGGCCGGGGATGGAACTCGTGCTGCGGTGGCTGCCAATAGCTTCGTAGTGCTGGGACTAAACCCCTTGCGCCACCAGGGAGGCCCTAAGTGGCAACTTCAGTAACACATCAGGGAACCCCGCTGCAGCACCTGCGTTCCTTCTTGCCGCTTGGCTGGGAGCCCCCGCTCACCCTGCCCTGTTCCCCCCAGGTGTCTGCTGATGCTGGTTTCTTCCATTTGCGTCTGAAACAGCCTGAGCCCTCAGCATGGACTTTGAGGACATTCACAGCTCCTGAGGACTCTGTTTTTGAAAATGGCTTTGATGTTCGAAGGCACACAGCATTAAACCTCGCTCTGAAACCTGCCCTGCCTGGATGTGGTTGTGCTGGGACTTGGTTACCTTAATGCAGCCCCGGTGGGTTGGGGGCATGGGAGGGGTTTCCTTTCAGTGCCAAAATTATGCCCATCGAAGAGTTTCTGGTGACTGACCGACAGGGTTTGAGATGCTCTGTGATGTCACATGACAACAAAATTGCCTAAAGATGCATTTCTCAGAAAGTATCCTTGTCGTAAAGCAACAGGTGTGTTGGGTAACCATGTGCACAGGCACCAGCAGGTAGGCAGGCAGAGAGGGGGCCCGGGAGGCTGGCAGCAGCCGAGCCTCCAGCCCCCACCATCTCTGCATCTTCTCTCTAGCTTCTTTCTGGCATTCTCTTTCACACTGCCACTCATGATCTCTCCCGGGTGTCCGTACTTACAGGTACACTCGCCCTCCCACAGCAACACATCACCCTGTGTGGGCAAGGAAACCTGGGCGGAAAGCAAAGGTGCAGGCGGTGGCCATAGAGGCTAGTGGCGGGAAGGCAAAGAAAAGCCGGAGTCCATTTTCCCTACAATGTGACTGTCTATTCCAGCCTTAAATGGTCCACAATCAAGTAACAAACAGTTTCTGTGGCTCAGGAAATTGGAAGGAACTTAGCAGCGTGAGCCTGGCTTGGGGTGTCTCATCACAGCCAGGGTGGCCTCATCCAGAGGCGCCACCTCTGGCAGAGCAACTGCTTCTGCATCAGCGCCCTCATGTGGCTGTCTCGGGGAAGCGCAGCTCCCCTTCTCCGAGCACTGCTTGAACGTCCACGTGGTGGCCATCTTCCCCCAGAGTGAGCGGCAGAGCCCACTACACCTTTTATAACCTCCTCTCCGAAGGAGTAGAAATAGGGTCTGTGTCTTTTATTTTAAAGATTTATTTATGCATAGAAGAACTTGGGTGCAGGCCAGAGATGCAGGGGATGAGAGGATTCACCAGAGACCTAGTGGGGAGCAGAACAGACAGATCTATTGAAATACACTGCTGAGGGAAGCAGCGGGCGAGTCAGGAGAGGTCTGCTGTGCAATGTGGGTAGCTCCCTGGCCGAGGATTGAACTCAGGCCTCAGCGATGAGACTTAACCCGTAGGCCACCAAGGAGGCCCGGATCTATATTTTAAAAGGAGGAACATCGGAACTGTGGACATGATAGACCATCATAAGGGATACACTGCATAATTAGTTCCTGTTTCCCCTGCCTAGTTCTTGCCAACTCTTGCCAAGTTCTTGAAATTTTCAGGAACATTCTAAGTATCTTTGTGAAATAGCTTGTTCTATTAGGTAGCTCCAGCTGCCATGGCTAAATACCACTGACTAGGCAACTTAAATAGCAGAAATGAATTATCTCAAGTTTTGGAAGCTCTGAGTCCAAGGTCAAGGTTCCAGAATGGTTGGTTTCTGGTAAGGTTTCTTGGCTTGCAATGATCATCTTCTCTATGTGTCCTTAACGTGGGCTTTGCTGAATGCCATGGAAGGAGAGGAAGCAGGTGTTCTGGTGTCTCTTAGAAGGTACTTTGCCACACCCCCTTGACCTCATTAAACCTTCACTGCATCTTTAGAAGCCTAGCTCCAAATGCTGCCATGTGGGGTGTGTGTGTGTGTCTGTGTGTGTGTGTGTGTGTGTGTGTGTGTGTGTGTGTTTTGGCAGGGGGTGTCAGGGCTTCCCTTTTTTTTTTGAAGATTGATTTATTTATACAAGAACTGGAGTACAGGTCAGAGGCACGGGAGGGTGAGAGGATTCACCAGAGACAGGGCGGGGAGCAGAACAGGCAGATAGAGCAAAGACACTGCTGAGGGGAGCAGCGGGCGAGGCAGGAGAGGTCTGCTGCACCATGTGGGTTTCTCCCTGGCCAGCCAGGAATCGAACCCATGGTGCAGAGGCTGCAGACAGCTTCACAGCACGGCGCTCAATCACTGCGCCACTGGGGAGGTCCAGGGCTTCACTTTGTGCATTCTCTTTTCATCAAAGCTTATTTTGGGGAGTGTGGGGGTTTGCCATTGCCATTTAAAAACATAGCAATTTGAATTTTTAAGGGCTACCTGGTACTATATCACATGCACCATTTATTAACTAGTCTATTGGGGCATTTGTCTGCCATCACTTGCTATTACAATAATGTCTGTGATATTATATCTGGATATATCTGTCATATAACACGAGGGGTGCAATATGTGATAAACAAGTTACACTTATAATTTTTAAGCAATTTCTAACTCAGAGTAGACTGTGCTAAGCTGTATCATAAGCAAAAGGAGATGTGTGTGCTTATCCATAAACTTTTTATAATGATTGTTTTAATGAAAATATAGCTGAGTTTGGTCCCATGAAAGCAAACAAATTGTCCCCAGTAAAATTCTGGATGTAAATATTTTAGCAAACTATTATGTTAAAAAATGTTCCCATATGTTAATACTTTCTCAACCACTTTAATTCTGGGGGGAATGTTAACCATTAAAAATACATACAGGAAAAAAAAATACAGGGCATCGGGTGGCACAAGGGGTTAAGTTTTAGCACTATGAAGCTATGGTCAGACACTGCAGCAGGAGTTCAATCCCCAGCCAGGGAACTGACCCCCATGGTGCAGCAGACCTCTCCTGACTCACCCACTGCTCCCCTCAGCCCTCTCACCCCCTGCACCTCTGGCCTACACCTGCCCAGCTCTTGTGTGCATAAATAAAGTAAATCTTAAAAAAAAAAATACATATAAAAGGGTCTGTCTTCTTTATTTTGTCTTGGACTCCACATGGCTCAGCACGGTGCTGCTTGGTCCCATCTTGAACATTTTTTTTTTTTTTTTTTTATAGAGGCATGCTTTATTTATTTGTTTGCTGGTTTGTTTGTTTGTTTTGTTTATACATGCACTGGGTACAGTCAGAAGCGCGGGAGGGCGAGAGAATTCACCAGAGCCAGAGCAGGGAGCAGAACAGACAGAAGGACCAAAGTACACTGCTGAGGGGAGCAGCGGGCGGCAGGAGAGGTCTGCGCACCATGTGGGACCCTCCTCTGGTGGCCGGGGAGCAGCTGGGGATCGAACCGGCGCCGCAGAGGCCGCGCGCAGCTTCGCAACCCAGCGCTCAACCGCTGCGCCACCGGGGAGGCCCACCCCATCTTGAACATTTTGATATTTTGTGCATCATAATTTTTTTGCATTTGTTTTGAATTGTTAAGTTTGCACTAAATACCATGCATCTTGATGGAGGTTTTCAGGGCCCCTTCATACTTTGTGCCCCAGGCAAGTGTCTCCCTCTCCACACCTGGGGCCTAGCCCTCTGCAGAATTCTAAAGCAAATCCTAACACTGTGTTACTGCTGGCTCAGTGCCCCAGCATGCATCTCCAAATAAGGATTTTTATTATGTTTTTAAAGATTTAAAATTTTTTTAAGATTTATTTATTTGTGCATACAAGAGCCGGGATACAGGCCAGAGGTGGCGGGGGGGGCGGGGTGAGAGGATTCACCAGAGACAGTGGGGAACAGAACAGACAGACTGACCAAAGTACACTGCTGAGGAGAGCAACAGGCAAGACAGGAGAGGTCTGCTGTGCCATGTGGGTAGCTCCCTGGCCGGCCAGGAGCTCAAACTTGTGCTGCAGAGGCTGTGGACAACTTCACAGATAGTGTCTTAACCCCTTGCAGCACCAGGGAGGCCCAATTTATGTATGCATATAAGAACTGACGTACAGGCCAGAGGTGCCGGAGTTAAAAAGATTCACCAGAGACAGTGGGGAGCAGAACTGGCAGACTGACTGAAATATATTGCTGAGGGGAGCAGTGAGCAAGACAGGAGAGGTCTGCTGCACCACGTGGGTAGCTCCCTGGCTGGCCGGGGATTGAACTCATGCTACAGTGGCTGACCATAGCTTGGTAGCGCTGTCTTTAAACTCTGGGATAGGGCCTCCCCAGTGGCGCAGCGATTGAGCGCTGGGTTGCGAAGCTGCCCGCGGCCTCTGCGGCGCCAGTTCGATCCCCGGCTGCTCCCCGGCCACCGGGGGAGGGTCCCACATGATGCACAGACCTCTCCTGCCGCCCGCTGCTCCCCTCAGCAGTGTACTTCGGTCCCTCTGCCTGCTCTGCTCCCTGCTCTGGCTCTGGTGAATTCTCTCACCCTCCCGCGCTTCTGACTGTACCCAGTGCTTGTATAAACAAAACAAATAAATAAATAAATAAAATATGCCTCTATAAAAATAAACAAACTCTGGGATACCAGGGAGGCCCCTGTAGCTATATATTTTTTTCTTTTCTAGTAAAAGTGAAAATGTTTTGTTTTTTTTTTAAAGATTTATTTTTATACAAGAACTGGGTACAGATCAGATGTGCAGGAAGGTAAGAGGATTCACTGGAGACAGAGCGGGAACAGAACAGGCAGACTGACGAAATACACTGCTGAGGGGAGCAGCGAGACAGGAGAGGTCTGCTGTGCCATGTGGGATTCTCGCCAGCTGGTGGGGATCAAACCCATGCTGCAGAGGCTGTGGACAGCTTCACAGTGCAGCGCTCAACCACCCGCGCCACCAGGGAGGCCCTTTTTTTTTAAAGATTTATTTTATGCATACAAGAGCTGGGGTATAGGCCAGAGGTACAGGGGCAGGGGGGAGAGAATTCATCAGAGAGAGTGGGGAGCAGAAGGGGTAGATGTACTAAAATACACTGCTGAGTGGAGCCGCAGGCGAGACAGGAGAGGTCTGTTGCGCCATGTGGGTCAGCTCCGGGGATTGAACTTGTGATGCAGAGGCTGCAGATAGCTTCACCGTGCTGATGCTTAACCCCTGTGCCACCAGGGAGGCCCAAAAGTAAAAATATTTTAATTGCCAAGACTTTGAGAAGCAAAATTAATGCATGTCAGAACATACATTAACAAATTGAAGTCATTCTGTTACATAAATTAACCCATTTATTATAAGTTGGCAATGTTTCAAATTGTGGCACTTCCACTGCTCTTCCAATTCCTCAGTCTTGGGTTTCGCTGTGACAGCCGAAGCTGTGGTGTGGGTCCAGGTGCCGCCAGCTACCATGCAGGAACCACAGGCCCAGATCCCTACCGCTCACCTCCTTATCTTGGTTTTGCCACAAAAGGAGCAAGTGTACTGGTGCGTTGGCTGACTTCACCATTTTGTGAAGGGTCCCCTATTTATTGAAGATCCCCACGTCCTTGCTGCTTTTGGCCATGTGATTGCAAACTAGGTCAGCACCCAGAGAGGGTATAATTTTTAAATTAAGAAATGAAGTCCTATGCCCAGGAAGAAGACACACCCAGTTGTTAAGAGTGTTGTCCCTCAGGAAGGCCAGGGTTCTCAAGTCGGTTCAGGTCTGAACTGGGCAGATGTGAATCTAACTGCTCAACCAGCACTGTAACATGGTGACCACCTCTCTGGGTGCCTGCCTGGCCACTTTGCCCTTTATCTGTGAGAGGCAGCCCTGCTCACTGGAGCCTGCTGCCGTCTTTACAGCGAGCTCCTTGGGAATCCAGGAAGGAAGGGGGCTAATTTCGAGAAGTTGCCTTTACCCAAAAACTTTATTTAAAAAAAATATATTTTATGGGCCTCCCCGGTGGCGCAGCGGTTGAGCGCTGGGTTGCGAAGCTGCCCGCGGCCTCTGCGGCGCCGGTTTGATCCCCGGCTGCTCCCTGGCCAACAGAGGAGGGTCCCACATGGCGCGCAGACCTCTCCTGCCGCCCGCTGCTCCCCTCAGCAGTGCACTTCGGTCCTTCTGCCTGCTCTGCTCCCCGCTCTGGCTCTGGTGAATTCTCTCACCCTCCCGCGCTTCTGACTGTACCCAGTGCATGTATAAACAAACAAACAAACAAATAATAAAACATGCCTCTATAAAAAAAAAAAATATTTTATTTATTTATACAAGAGCTGGGGTACAGGCCAGAGGCGCAAGGGGTGAAAGGATTCACTAGAGACAGGGCGGGGAACAGAACAGGCAGACTGACTGAAATACACTGCTGAGGGGAGCAGGGGCCAGGCAGGGGAGGTCTGCCGCCCCATGTGGGTTTCTCCCTGGCAGGCCAGGAATTGAACCTGCGCTGCAGAGGCTGCGGACGGCTTCACAGCGCTGCGCTCAACCCACTGCGCCACCGGGGAGGGAGATGCTCAACCCAAAAACTTTAAAGAAAGAAGTGACACCTGCCTGCCTGGCCTTGGGCTGCAGGTCCTGGACTTGCCTTCAATTACAGAGCCTACGGGCTGGGAGACACGTCCGGGGGGAGAGCCAGGCATGCAGACCACCCCTCTTTTCCCCTCTGGGCAGCTAGGGTCTCCGTCCCAGCATCCTCCCGGCTCAGCCAGGGCCTGGCCAGGGCCGGGCGCTAGGGCAGGCGGGTCGCGGAGCCCAGCCTCCCGGCCTCGGCCCTGGCTCTGCCCACAGCTCCGCGATCCTTTCCTGAGCACCCGTCCTGGGCCCGTCAGGCTCTGCCACGCAAGAGCAGTGTGGGCCGGGGTGGCGGAGTGTCTGTGGGGGCGGGCGGTGCCCGGGGCGCGCGGAGCCGCCCGGCCCGCGGCCGGCAAGGGCAAGGGGTGGACGCGCCCTGGGAAGGTCACGGGTGCGCGGGCGAGATGGCGGCGGTGAAGGCGCGGGCCGGGAGGGGGCCGGCTCCTGGGCCCAGGGCCTGGAGAGCGCGTCGGGCGGGAGTGGGGCCCGCGCGGGCACGGCCAGGACACCCGCGGAGGCGCCCGCGGGCCGGAGCCCCGAGCCGGGCGGGGCGGGGGCGCCCCGAGACTCGGCCGGGCGCGGCCCCGCCCAGGAGGGCCGGCGGGGGCGGGGCCTGCGCGGCGCCTGCGCAGCACGGGGCCCCGCGCGCGGGCGGGTGGGCGGAGCGGGCCCCCGAGCGGGGGCTGGCGAGCGCGGGGAGGGGGCCGAGAGGGCGGCAAAGCCGGCGCGCGCCCGGCTGGGGGCGGAGGGCGGGGGCCCGCGGGCCGGAACAGCCGCGGCTAGTGGCGGCGGCGGCGGCGGCGGCGGCGAGACGGCGGCGGCGAGCGGGGGTCCGGGCGGCGCGGCGGCGGCGGGCCGAGGAGCCGGGCGCGATGGAGCGGAAGAGGTGGGAGTGCCCGGCGCTCCCGCAGGGCTGGGAGAGGGAAGAAGTGCCCAGAAGGTCGGGGCTGTCGGCCGGCCACAGGGATGTCTTTTACTATAGGTGAATGAGCGTGCTGGCCGGGCAGGGCCCCAACGGGCGCCTCCCAGCGGCCTCTGCGGCGGCCTGGCGCCCCTCACGGGCTGCGGCCTGGGTGCTGCGCGTGCGTCGTGCGTGAGTGCGTGCGTGCGAGCGTGCCGGCGCGCGGCGGGCCCCGGCCCAGTGCGCGTGCGCGCCCGGCGGCCCCACCCCCGGGGCACAACGTGCGGGCGCCCGCGCGCCCAGGGCCCGGGCCGGCCGGGGCGGGCGGCGGCCTTTGTCCGGCCGCCGCGGCCCGCCTGCCGCTGGGCGAGGGGCGCCCGGCGCGGGTCAGACGCTGCTGGGAGGCCGGGGTGGGGGCTGGGCTGTCCCTCCGATCCTCGCGGGGCGCTCCCGGGGGCGGCTGTGGAGCCGGGGCTCGGGAGCGGAGTTCTCGGCGCCGGGAAGCGCGCGCGGCGGTGCGGGTCGCCGGGCCCTTCGCGGCTGCCGGGGGCTGCGCGCTTTCGGCGGCTCCCACGCGCCTGCCCCACGTGGCCGTGACCTCGCCCGGCGGGGAGCCCGCGCGGGACCCCCGGGGCGCCGCGCACCGTAGCCGCTGTGGGCGCGGGGCTGGGGTCTTGGGCCCTCGGATCTTCCCTCCTCCAAAGTGGGAGGAGGGACCGCCCCGGCCTGTGAGGGCTGGGGCGCAGCCCCCTCGGTGGAATAGAGGAGAAGTGGGCGGCTGGCCGCTCAGCCCAGACTGCGGGCCACCTGCTGGGCGCCTGCCCCCTCCTTTTCTTCTGACTGGCGGACGATGCTTTTGTTTCCCTGGGGTTTTGACGGCCCCCTCCCCTTTGCTTGGGACCCTCATGAAAGGAGAGCTTGTGGGCACCTGCCACGTGTTGAATGCCAGCAGGGTGCTAGCCGGCCAGTGTGTGGCCAGTCCGTGCACCGAGATGGGGTGGGTGAGGATGAGGGGGTGCAGGAGTAGTGAAGCGGTCACCCTGCACTTGGGTCGCCTGTGGACCCCTGCCGTCCCGGGCTGTGAGCCGGGAAAAGATGATAGCTCCGGACAGCCTCGGCTTCTGGGTTCCAGGCAGCCTTGGGCAGCGAGGGGCAGCCGGGCGGGGTGTGCCCCTGTGTGTACTAATGTTGACCGGGACCTGTACCTCCAGGGCGTGTAGCAGTGGAACTGCAAGTAACATGTCTCTGGGGACACGCGTTTGCTGCCGCCATCTGTGGCATCATTCCTTGCTGGCTCTTTAGAGAATCCAAAGCCTTGTGGTCTCTCCTGGGTGGACAAGGGCGTACTCGGACGCCTTTCATTCCCAGTGTGCTCTTAGGCTTCTTTTCAGAGCCAAGGGCTTGCCTCTCTATTCCTTTGTTAATTTAGCAAACACCCCCACAGCACCTGCTGAGTGTCTGGCACTGCAGGGGAGAAGGGTTGGGGGGGTGAAGGAGGCGGGGTTAGCCCCAGGCTTGCCTTCCCTCGTGATAGCACATGCACCAGCCCTTTGCCATTATAGGTGGTGATGTCAGCCCAGGGTGCCTTACTGAGCGGGGTGGTTCCCAGGGCCTCAGAGGATTGACATATCCCTGACAGAGAAGTAAGGAGAAGTGGTCTGGGTAGGTGATTGACCTGTGCAGACACGGGGGGGGGGGGGGGGGGGGGGGGCAGGAGTTACCCCTGGACTATCCTGTCCCACCTGTCTAGGAGCGTCTCAGCCTTAACCGTGTGGGAGTCCATTCAGGCCCCAGCCCTGAGCGTGGGAAAAGCTCTAAACCGGAGTGGAGATTATAGTTAAGGTTTCCTGCAGCTCTACCGAGATGGGACAAAAGGGGTTTTTAGGTACAGGCTGGCCAGAGAGGGTGTCTGGCCACTGCCAGGCTTCTAGCCTAGTGCTCCGCTGTGCAGGTGGGTGTCACCCTCCTTCCCAGTGCTGGGAGGCTGGGGGTTGTAACGTGGCCTCTGCTGACCGGGCAGCAGGGGTACGTTTCCCGTGTTCCTCTGATCTAGAGAGAAGACAGACCTGGGCTGGTGTCCCAGCCTCTCCTGAAGGGATGTGCTGTCTGGTTTCCTCATTCTAGAGGGACTGATGTAGAGTGACCCCACAAACCATCACTTGGGGGGCACTCACACAACCTTCCCACCTGACATAGCCCCGAGCTTCTCCAGGGTCTGTGTGAGAGGTGAGAGGCCATATGGGAGTGTCTTTGTGAAAAGTCTCACCTTAGGACATGATCCAGGCAGGAAGTTGAGACTTACAGGGAGTTAGTGTCCTGACCAGGGGTGCCGAGCACAGGATGTTTCCAGAAGGTGTAACGGGAAGAGCAAGAGGTACTTAGTGTCCCCTTTCTCTGAAGAGCAGGCCAGGGGTGCCTGGAACCAGCTGCGCCAGTCAGCTTGGCCTTGCTGCCTGGCGGGTCATGGCCTTACGGTGAGCGAGGAGACGCTGCCTGCTGACCCTGTATGCACAGCGGCCCTTTGTGCCCACGAAAGATGGTGCCAGGGGAGGGGCCTCTGCTCCTTACTCTGGGCACCCGTCTCCACCATAGCCAGCCTGGGAGCTTCTGCCATCCCTGTGGTGTGGTGGACCCCCCAGCCCCGCCCCACCCCACCCCACCCGCAGGTCCTGCTCCCAGGCTCCCGCTGTGGGCCTGTGCCAGAGCCGAGCACTCGAGTCTCCTCTGCGTGCTGTATGAGAAGGGCTCTCTGGCCTCCGGGTCTGCAAAACCTTTTTTAAAGTGGAGCTGTGATTCCCAGTCCATATAGTTCACTCTTAACAGAAGACAATGCAGCGGGTTTTAGTACATTCACAAAGTTGTACAACCATTACTCCTGTAGTTCCAGAACATTTTTATCACCCCCAAAACAAAGCCTTGTGCCTGTTAATAGTCCCTCCTCATTCCTCACCCCAGCCCTACAAACCCACTTTTTGTGCATTTTGTCTTAAACTGCTTTATAGACGTGATTCACACCACACAATTTTTAAAAGCATAACTGGTCTTTAGTACGTTCTGGTACAGTTATTACCTCAATTTTATTTTTTACATGTTTATTTTTCCTTAGAAGAACCGGGGTGTAGGCCAGAGGTGTGGGAGTGGGGGTAGGGGATCAGCAGTGTAGGCTGTACCATGGTCAATTTTAGAGCATTTTTATTGCGCGCACCCCCCCAACTCCAGCCTCTGCCTATCACTGCCCTCTCCCCTGTCCCTCACAACTAACTGCTCATCTTCCTTTTGTGTCTCCCTGCTTTCTTCAAGTGCCAGGCAAGGCAGGTGTGCATGGGGTGACCTGGCACAGAAGTGCTGGCGCATGTCTCAGGTTCTCTGCCTCCCTCTCTGTGGCTTTGTGTTTGAAGTCTGGTCGGGATGTGGGTTTCTTTTGCTGCTGCACAAGTGGACTCAGTGTTAACATTAGCCAGCACGGAGTGTAACAGAAAAGTGACTCCAGAAGGTTCCACAGTAACCTGAGGCCCTGGGACAGTCAGGACCCCTGTCCTGGTGAAAATAGCACAAGTTCCTCCGGTGGCTTCACCCAGCAGGCCAGGTGCTCGCATGGGCTGCTGTGCCCCCAGACACACATCCTGGAAGAAACGGTTTCCTTCTGGCTGAGGGGTTCCCTTTTTCTGCCCTATGTGGGACATCTGGAGGGGCAGGCACGCGATCGCTCAAATTAGGGGCTTGTTCCAGAGGCTGTCAGGAGGTCAAAAATCCAATCCCCGGCCACTGTCAGACTGAGGAGCTGTTTGCCAGAGGGGACTGTTGATTGGCTTGTAGCCCCAGAAGGCTTGGGGCCTGCTACCCACGACGCCAGCGCTCAGCGGGGCCGCAGTCCACACGCCACAGCGTCCACCTGCCTCTGCGTGCACGTTGGTGCTTTGTAGGTTGGGTTCCCCTCCGCCGCGAGCGTCACCACAGCCCCTGGCTTCACAGATGCACACTCTGTCACTGGCTGGGCCTGTCCTGGACGTTTCTCGTCAGGGACTCACACCACGTGGCCTCATGTGTCCGGCTTCTCTCCCTGAGCGTCCCTGCTGTGTCTGAGTGGCTGAGTGAGTGTCCAGGTGTGGCTGTGTGTGTCCATCATGTGATGGACACGTGGGCTGTTCATTCTTCGTTCCAAATTGTGCTGCTGTGCGTGTTTGGGTGAAGTGTTTGCAAGGACGTGTGTTCGTTTCTCCCAGGTAGACACCTGGTGTGGAATTGCTGTTTACGGCTTGAGGAGCAGCTGGGCTGTTTTCCAGAGTGACTGCTCCAGCGTCCATCCCCAGCCAGTGGTTCTGTCCAGAGCGTGCTGGCTGAGTGGGGTCGGCTCCGTGAATGGCACGGCAACCTGTAGACTGACGTCGTGTGTGTGTGTAGCAGTATTGCAGGGCCTCCCCGCTAGTTCGTGTCCACCAGCTGTTTGGGGTCCTGGCCCCGAGTCTTAACATAAAATTTTCCATATTGGCCCCTAGGACACCCCAGTTCCTGGTACTTTTACCATAAGGACACTTCTCGTAGGGGTTGTCCCTCAAATACCTGCTATCTTTGAGTTCTTTTCTCAAGCGGACAGCCCAGTTCTGTTTGTGGAATGTTCTGGAAGTGTTAGTCTGGCTTCTCATAGGGCATTCATCCCTACTCTCAACCCCAGCGTGGGGTTGCTGGCTGGGGATCCAGTACGCCCCACCCACTGCTAACCCCCATCTCTGTGCAGCCCAAGTGGGAAGAAGTTCCGGAGCAAGCCGCAGCTGGCACGGTACCTGGGGGGCTCCATGGACCTGAGCACCTTTGACTTCCGCACCGGCAAGATGCTGATGAGCAAGGTGAACAAGAGCCGGCAGCGGGTGCGCTACGACTCCTCCAACCAGCTGAAGGTGAGCCCTGCCCACCCCGGGGTCACTGGCCGCAGAAAGCCCACTCTTGGTGCAAAGAGCAGTTTTCCTAGCCAGGTTCTCTTGTCCTGATACTAAAGCCATGACTGCTTGTTGAGGGACCCTTGGAGCTGCAGGTGGGAGGAACAAGCACGAGGCCCCCTGAGAGCAGGTCCCTGCTGCCGCTGCTGGGCCTATGGTGCGGCCCCCCTCACATGGCGTTTGTGGGGGCTGGGAGGTGGCATGTCTTGACAGCGGATGGGCCACCCTTGGGTGTAGATTTGCTCGTGGTCTCCTGGTCCTGGCACCCAGTGACATGGTGTGATCTGTGATGGACACATGTTCAGGGGGACCCTGGCCCTGCCCCTGCTGTAAGGAGAACTGGCCTGGGCACCACCAGGACCTAGAGGTGAGGGTGCCGCAGGCAGCCGTGCATCCAGAGCCTTGGGCAGGACCTGGCAGGCACCCTGGGTCTGTGGGTACCATGGTGTGTTGGTGATTAGGGGCCTCAGTCAGTTCCCCAGGGCCCAGAAGGGCACTTTCCTGCACTGGCTGGGAAAGCGTGCTGAGGACACTGCTGGGCGCATTTGGGACCTGAGACCAGCCTGTGTGTCTCCGCAGGGCAAGCCCGACCTCAACACGGCCCTCCCTGTAAGGCAGACGGCGTCCATCTTCAAGCAGCCAGTGACCAAGATCACCAATCACCCCAGCAATAAGGTGAAGAGTGACCCCCAGAAGGCTGTGGAGCAGCCTCGGCAGGTGAGCTCCCAGGCCTACGTGGGCGCTGCACCACGGGAGGGGGCCCCGGCTAGTCGCAGAGGAGACTCCTATGCTTGGTCCACACTGCTGGGCGATAGCCAGGAGCAGCCGCCCCGGGTCACGGGTCCTGGGGGAACTGGCCTCGCCGCAGCAGCCTGCTGTGTTCTCGCTCTGGCCCTGCGGGTGTGGGTGCCGTTCAACAGGCGTGACCTTTGGCGTCTCTGCAGCCGCAGAGGGCCTTCCGTCAGCTCCCACTTACTCACAGACTCAAGTGGGGTGTGCAGGAGACGCTCGGGGTCCCCAAGGGCGAGCAGGGCTCTCCTGGGTTGTGGCCGCACTGTCACTGCTGCAGGCGGCATCAGTAGTCTGTGTCTGCCTGGCTCCCGCACTTGTGGTCGTGCCTTTTGGGGTGCAAACTTGTGTGGCTCTCGGGGGGTGATGGAGGTAGTTTCCCCTTGTCCCTCAGTGGGCCCTGTGACCTCACCCTCGGTTGAAGTTGGGCCTCGGAACCCCCAAATCCAGGGCAGAGGGGACCTTTCCCTTGGTGGGGCCCAGGAAGCCCTCGTGGCAGTGACAGTCTTTGGGGAGCCATGAGCCATCCACGCGCACAGTGAGGCTGCCCCAAGTGGGGAGCGGGTCTGGCTGTGAAATCCCCTCGTGCCCTCCGGACCAGCCCCCTCACTGCCCAAGCTTGGCAGCTGTGGGGTCAGAGGTCATGCAGAGGCTGTCATGAGTACTAGGTGGGCTTGGCTGTCTGTCAGCCTCACATTCGTCCGTCTGTCCGCCCGGTGACAGCTCTTCTGGGAGAAGAAGCTCAGCGGCCTGAATGCCTTTGACATCGCGGAGGAGCTGGTGAAGACCATGGACCTCCCCAAGGGCCTGCAAGGTAACGGGTGGCAGAGACAACCACAAGGGGCTGCTCCACAGCCCAGGAGGTGGAGTTGAGGCCACCTTGGGGGAGAGAGAAGGAGATGTCTGGCAGAGGTCACAGAGCAGTCCCCTGCTCCTTGTCAGCATTGGCATCCTAACTAGGCCATGGCACAGCTCGGGGGCGGGGGCACCCTCGGAGGCCTGAGATGTTTGGTTTTGCTCCTGCACCCTAAAACCCACCCTTACTGGAAAGGCAGAGTGAGTCTGTTTTACATAAGCGGCTGCGTGCTCACAACGGGAGGTCTGGCTGCCCCCCCCCCCACCTAATGGTGCTCCTCCCCCACAGGGGTGGGCCCCGGCTGCACAGACGAGACGCTGCTGTCCGCCATCGCCAGCGCCCTGCACACCAGCACCATGCCCATCACTGGGCAGCTGTCGGCGGCCGTGGAGAAGAACCCCGGGGTGTGGCTCAACACCACTCAGCCGCTCTGCAAGGCCTTCATGGTGACTGACGAGGACATCAGGTAGCCCCCCGACCCTGTCCCGGTCCTCTCTGGTCCATGGCCAGTGTCCGAGCGCATGTGAGTGTCCTCTGTCCTGGGACAGGCACGTGTGTTGTTGAAGCGTCAGCAAGGACGCTGCCTCTTCAGCGAGCAGTTGTCAGTGCAGGGCAGGTGTGGCGTGGCCTGCTGCGGGGGCACAAGGCCTTGCTCTAAGGAAACGTTTTTGAGATGAGAAGTGGGTTCTTGTCCTGCTCTGATGTGCTCGTGGTGTGTCCTGCCTTCCCTCAGGGGCGAGCGGTTCACCAGCCTGCCTGTTGGGGGGCCGCAGAGGGGTGAAAGTTCCAGAGGGTGGCAGGGAGTGTGGCATGCGACAGGAAGGGGTGTGGCTGGGGGGTGAAAGGTACAGTTGGGGGCCCCTGAGGCTGGGCCTGAGTGAGCAGATCCTTGGGTGATGAGTAGGTCGGTGGGGGGGCGGTCACTGCCATTATCCAGGTGCAGATAAACTCAGGGCATCTGTTTGCTGGAATGACCTAGTAAAGACGTCCTTGAACTGGCATTGGTACAGGAAATATCTAGAAATGCTGGAGGGATGAAACATTCTTTTAAACTGCAAAGCACGAGTACGGACTTGATGCTAGACTCCCCCGAGAGCCCGTGCAGGGAGGGGGCTAGGGACTGGCAGTGCCAGCTGTAGGGTGCAGACCCGTGGGGTTTTGTCTGGGGACCAGGGGTTTAAAAGCCATGTGGGTGGGGCAGGAGCGCCGTACCCTGCGCATGGCAAAGGCTTGACCTGAGGCTGCACCCCCCACTTCCTCCTTAAGATCCAGTCCTGAGGGAGAGGGTGGCAGGGAGTGTGGCATGCGACAGGAAGGGGTGTGGCTGGGGGGTGAAAGGTACAGTTGGGGGCCCCTGAGGCTGGGCCTGAGTGAGCAGATCCTTGGGTGATGAGTAGGTCGGTGGGGGGGCGGTCGCCCCTGAGGGAAGGCAGGACACACCACGAGCGCATCAGAGCAGGACAAGAACCCACTTCTCATCTCAACCTCATCTCAACCCTCCTTCTTCCTGAAGGAGGAAGACCCCTAGAACTTCTAGAACTGAAAGGGGTGTTCAGACCAAAATTGAATGGGTGGCGTGTGGACTTGATCCCACCTGGAACGCAGATGAGCGACTGACAGAGACTGGGGCGACTTGCCCGGGACATGGGGTGACCTCACCCGGCCTGTGGGACCCGGGGCGTGTCCACTCTCCATCGCAAGCACCGGTCACCGTGAGGTGCGGGACGCTTGGTTAGACTCGTGGACCCACACCACGGTCTCCTTGCCGCAGGGGTGGTGAAAGCACACGCGCGTGAGTGTGCACATGTGTGCGCTGGAGCAGAAAGGAGCAGGCGGGTGACGGGTCTGCAGACCTGACTGACGCTGGGGGGCTTTGCCCCCGAGGCCGGGCAGGCTCGGCACCAGGCGAGCGTGGCAGGAGGGCTGCCCCAGGTGGGGAAGGTGGCAGCAGGCGGGTTGACTCTCGGTCAGAGCCACTGACTGCCGCGCATCTGTGTGTCCCCAGGAAGCAGGAGGAGCTGGTGCAACAGGTCCGCAAACGACTGGAGGAGGCGCTGATGGCTGACATGCTGGCTCACGTGGAGGAGCTGGCTCGGGATGGCGAGGCGCCCCTGGACAAGGCAGGCGTGGAGGAGGAAGAGGAGGAAGAGGAGGAGGAGGAAGAGGAGGAGGAGGAGGAGCCAGACCAGGACCAGGAGATGGAGCATGTCTAGAGCAGGTGCCGCCACGGCTGGTGCCAGGTGCTGACCACCAGGTGTGACCTCAAGTCCTCGGCTCTGCTCCCTGGCGGCACCCCCTGAGGGCCTCCTGCCTCCCTGGATGGGCCTGGGGACAGCCACCCAGCACTAATTGTTCCCCCACTGTCTTTCCAGAGGCCCTGCCCCCCAGCGTGGCCTCTGTAGACTTGGCCCTTGCCTCGCTCAGGACCAGGTTCAGGGCTGGGCCAGCTGGGAGGAAGGATCCTCCTGGCCCTTCCCAGGTGTGCTCCCTCCTCGGCCCCGGAGCACGACTGGAGGACGGCCTCCACCCGGCGGGCCCCGTGCTTACTCTCCACTCAAGGGCTGGGTTTCTGAAGTGCCATGGTTCCTCGGCTGCGCCTGCAGGAAGCCCACCTCAGGCAGATGCGCCACGCTGGACTCGGGCCCCTGAGCTTGAGCCTCGCCTCGGCCTGTGGCCAACAGCTGCCTCCTGAACTCAGACAGGAGCGCCACCTGCCAGGCTCCCTGCCAGGCTGGAGACATAGGTTTGAAACAGTGTTGCCTCCTGGTCTGGGCAGCCTGAGAGAATCTTCTGGGGCCAGCACCTCAGCCCTCTAGAGGGGGCACAGCCCCTGTGCCAGCCTGGCTGGGCAGGCCGAGACAGCCTGAAGACAGCCCGAAGCGCTGAAAACCAGTGGCACAGCCCAGACTTTTCAAACTTCAATAAACCTGTGGTACAAACGGGGCTGGACGTTGGCATCACTGCGGAGCCCTTGTGTTTGATGCACGTGGATGTGAACTCTGGCCTTTGCTTCCAAACGCCTCAGCCCGAGGGTCAGACTCTGGGACAGAGGAGGAATGGCCACAGCCGAGGCGCAGGGTTCCAGACTCACCGGGTGCCTATCCACTGCCAGGCTGGGCTCCGAGGCAGCTCCAGCTGCAGCCAACCTCTGTGCCTCGGTTTCCCCATGTGACTGAGACATCGACGTTCAGCTCCCAGGCTGTGCATCTCTGGCTGAGCTCTCCCAGGAGCTGGAAGAGGGAGTCGGGGACATGTTGCCTAATCCTCCTGCAGCCCCGAGTGCCTTGGCCTAGAGGAGCTCCCACCGCCCTGTGGACAGGGGCCGCGCCCTCCCCCACCTCGGATGGCCTGTTTCTCCTGCTCACTCCTTAAGCCCCGTCAGCCTGGAGACACCACCATGGACCAGCAAAGCCCAGCGAGTGCCAGCCTCTCTGCCCTCACCAGCGGCCATGACTGAGGGAACGTTCTGAATCCTGGCCTGGGCTTTAGGTGGGGGTTCTGGGGCAGGGTTGATGGTGGGGAGCCCCAAGGAGCTGTGGGGGGCATCACCCACCCCCTCCAAGGACATTTGCCTGATGGCAGGCGGCCACTTCCTTCCCAAGTCAAATCGAAGCACAAATCTTCCAGAACACGGAGGCCGCCGCATGCAAGGGCCCTGGGGCTGGGGCTGGGGCTAGGGCTGAGTGGCCTCCCAGGCGAAGAGCCCCACTCTGTTCGCGCCAAGGTGCTGTGGAAACACAAGGGGCTGTGGGTGGCCCGCGCTGGCCTGAGGTCATGTTCTGGGAGTCCTGCAGCGGAGGGGTGTGGGCTCTGGAGTGAATAAAGCCATCTGGGTGGTGTGCTTGTCATCGCTGTGAAGGCCTGAGCTCCTGTATCGGTGCAGAAGCCCCACCATCCCCAGATTCAAGTGCCCTGGCCTCGTGTGCCAAGTTGTGCATCACCACGGAAAGGGAGGCGGTAGGATGGGCTGCACATGCCCCAGTGTGGCCCTGGGAAGGGGCAGGAAGCCGAGGTGCAGCCCAGCTGAGGGTGTCTGGAAGACTTGTGCTCCCAGGCATCGGCAGCACCTCAGCCCTGGGTCCTGCCCCCTGTCGAGCGGGCACCAGTAGACTTGATGTCAGATGTGCCCCCAGTCATCCCCAAGAGAAGTGAGCCAGCACACCCCAGTTCTCTGGTGCAGGGGCTGTGCCAGGAGCGGCCCTACTGGTGTCCTGGGCTCTTCGGGCCTGGCACACAGCTGGCCCTGCTGCCCCTGGGGGGCTCCTGAGGGCCCTGTCTCCTTCAGACCCTGTGCCACCAGGGCCATCACCCATGATGCCCCCTCTCCCACTGGCTATGCTGACCTTGGCAAGCTTCTCCCAACCTGGAGGCTGGGAGGTGCTTCACCTGCAGCTGCCTGTTCATGGCCTGCCCTGTGTGTGTGGGCTCCAGAGGATTTGCCCAAGGCCCCATCCCACAGCTGGTCGGGGCCCTTGCCTGGACCCCTCTACTACATGGTCTCTCCCTTTCTCTTTCTTGTTCTCTCATCCCTCGTGACGTTTTTCAAGGAGCCCTACCTGTGCAGAATTGGCCCCAGCCCGCAGAGGGGAAATTGAAGTGGAGTTATTGCCCAGCCCGCTACACCAACTGGAATGGGGTGGTCAGGCCTGGCTGACTCAGCTTGTGCAGCTGTCTTCCAGCCAGAGGCCCTGAGCAGCCATTGACCTCAAGTTTGGACTCCTGGGTTCTGGCCCCTCCACGGTCTGCCCTAAGGGTGAAGTGCCCCAACTCACCATCACCCTCTGCCCTCCCCGAAACCCATCTGACTGGGCTGGTGCCACTTACAGGGTGGAGGAGTTCTCCCAGCAAGACCCCGCTGGCAAAGACTGTGCCACTCAGTTGCGGGTGCAGGGAGTTCTGGGGTCTGCAGCCCGCCTGTAGGGGTAGGGTTTCTAAACTGTCGGCTCAGGGGCATCTACCATGTGTCCCCACTGAGTGTCTGGCTGCCCCCAGCCCGTGGCAGGCAAAAGAGCTTCCAGAATCACCTGCACCTCCTGGGGTGTCGGGGCTGCTGTGATAGGGTCACTACACTACTCAGACTGAAGTTCAGGTGTCCAATGTGGTCTCGGGGGCTAAACCTGGGTGGGGCAGGCTGCTCCTCCAAGGCTTTAGGGGGCCTGTTTTCTGCCTGTTGCAGCTTCTAGAGGCTCTACATCCCCCTCCCCAATCCTGGGCTCAGGCACTTCATTCTCACAGCCAGTGTGTTCTCCCTCCACCCCTCCAAGGACTCTCCTGATGACTCCCCGCTGCCCAGGAATCCAAGATTCTCTCCCTTCTTAGTCAATCCTACCTGCAAGGTCCTTTAGCACGTGGGGTGACAGGTCCAGGGATTAGGATTTAGGCCTCAAGGGGGGACATTAATCATCCAACCATGTTATGCTGGAGCTGGGAGTTGCCTCCTATTAAGATAGCTCCTTCCGGGCCTCCCCGGTGGCGCAGCGGTTGAGCGCTGGGTTGCGAAGCTGCCCGCGGCCTCTGTGGCGCCGGTTCAATTCCCCGGCTGCTCCCCGGCCACTGGAGGAGGGTCCCACATGGCGCGCAGACCTCTCCTGCCATCCGCTGCTCCCCTCAGCAGTGTACTTCGGTCCTTCTGCCTGCTCTGCTCCCCGCTCTGGCTCTGGTGAATTCTCTCACCCTCCCGCGCTTCTGACTGTACCCAGTGCATGTATAAATAAATAAATAAATAAAATCTTAAAAAAAAAAAATATTACTATAGTTTAAAAAAAAAAAAAAAAGATAGCTCCTTCCCCGCACGCCTGGCCCTGCAGCCTCAGTGCAACCATCTCAACCCCAAGTTTTGCCAGCCCCTGCCCTCTGTCGCCTCACGAGGTGCAGGGGGTGAGAGGATTCACCGAGACAGTGGGGAGCAGAACAGGCAGATCTACTGAAATCCACTGCTGAGGGGAGCAGCAGGGAGGCAGGAGAGGTCTGCTGCGCCATGTGGGTAGCTCCCTGGCCGGGGATTGATCTTGTGCTGCAGTGGCTGCGGATAGCTTCATAGTGCTGAGACTTAACCCCTTGATCCACCAGGGAGGCCCAACATACTACAATTCTTATGTAACTACAAAAGACCCAGAATTGCTAAAGCCATTTTGAGAAAAAAAGAAAAATGGAGGCTTCATGTTACCCAGTTTTAAATTATAAAGCAGCTCTGGTATTGAGGGCCTCCCTGGTGGCGCAAGGGGTTAAGCACAGCACTGTGAAGCTCTCCGTAGCCTCTGCAGCAGGAGTTCTAGCCCTGGCCAGGGAGTAAACCCACATGGCGCAGCAGCCCTCTCCTGACTCGCCCGCTGCTCCCTCAGCAGTGTCTTTCAGTCAGTCTGCCTGTTCTGCTCCCCACTCTGTCTCCAGTGAATCCTCTCACCCTCCCACCCCCACCCCAACACCTCTAGGCTGTGCCCCAGTTCTTGTGTGCATAAATAAATCTTTTTCAAAAAGACAAAAACAACCTAATTAATGTTTATCATCTCTCTTATTAAGGAAATACAAACCAAAACCACTATGAGATACAATCTCACACCTGTGAGCACGCCTTCCATCAGAAAGACTGTTAACATGTGTTGGTGAGGCTGTGGAGAAAGGGGAGCCCGAACGTGACTTGGCGCCGCCATTTTGGAAAGTGCTTTGGGAGCCCTCAGAGAAAAATAGACCTACCATGTGACCCAGCAATCCAGTTGATGTGAAATCATCCATGTGAGGAGTTATATGCACCACAGTGTTTACTGCAGCATCATTTACAATAGCTAAGCTGTGGGAGCAAATAGCTAAGAAGTAGAAAGTACCCACTGACAGATGAGTGAATAAAGATGTGCTCCAGCAATACAACGGAATACTATTCAGTCCTAAGGAAAGTGAAATTTTGCCATTTACAGCAAAATGGAAGGAACTTGAGATTATATGAAGCAAAATTAAAAAGATAAAGACATATTGAATGATTTTGCCACTGTGTGCAATAATAAGGACACTCAAGCAGATAAAGAGCCAAAAGAAAATAAAGTAGCGGAGACTAAAGACTGAAATGAGGTTAAAAGAAGTAAAGAGGGTGGGAGTAAGGATGGAGGGAGGTGAATGTTTTTTCTAACAACAAAAAGTCTTGCAAGGCCAAAAAATTTTCTTATAATTGACATACACTATTTTCGTTTGAGGTGTGCAACATTTGTATACTTTGAAAAAGCATCATCACAGTAAGTCTATTTGCCATCTTTTCTTAGCAACTTCCTGATTCACAATACCATATTGTTAATTCTAATCCCTGTTATTTATTGCGTCTCCTTGATTTATTTACTTTGCGACCAGAGTTTCTACATTGTGATCCCTTTCACCCATTTTAATCCCTACCCCAATCCTCTACTTCTGGTAACTACCAATCTATTTTCTGTCTCTATAATTTTAATCGTCTGTTTTCCTTTAGATTCCACATGTGAGATCATACAGTATTTGTCTTTCTCTGACTTATTTTGCTTAGTATTACACTCTCAAGTTTCATTCATATTGTTGCTTGCAAGAATGCCTTCTTTTTCATGGCTAAATAATATTCCACTGTGTGTACATACCACATTTTGTTTATTCACTCATCCATTTGTGGATATATAGGCTGTTTCTTTTGAAAATAACGCTGCAATGACTAGATATCTTTTTGAATTCATGTTTTCCTAGTCCTCAGATAAAAACCCAGAAGTGGAAATGTTGGATCATATATTAGTTCTATTTTTTAATTTTTTGAGGAAACTTCATACTATTTTCCATAGCAACTGCACAAATTTACATTCCCAACAGTGCACAAGGATTCCCTTTTTTCCACATCCTCACCAATGCTTTTGTCTTTTAAAAAACAAAGATTTTTATTTATGCATGCATGCATACAAGAACTGGGGTGTAGGCCAGAAGTGCAGGGGGTGAGAGGACTCACCAGAGACAGAGTGGGGAGCAGAACAGGCAGATCTACTGAAATACACTGCTGAGGGGAGCAGCAGGCGAAGCAGGAGAGGTCTGCTGTGCCATGTGGGTCAGCTCCCTGGCTGGGCATGTAACTCATACCATAGTGGCTTGCTCTAGCTTGATAGTGCTGAGACTTTAACCCTTGTGCCACCACAGAGGACCCCTCCCCCCCAAGAACATTTTTTAAAACTTAAAAAAAATCATGGAAATTTCTGAACACACGTCAGACAGACAGATGATATATCCATGTCCATGACCCAATCTGTCAACCTGAAAATATGGCCTTATTTGGAAATAGTCTTTGCAGGTATAAACCAGTTAAGTTGAGGTGGTACTGGAGCAGTGTGGCCTGCTGTCTTTTTAAGAGGAGAGAAATTTGGACACAGATACACAAGGAACTGACTGTGACAATGGAGACAGACTGGAGTGATGTGGCAACAGTCAGCCAAGGCGCAAGGATTGGTGACTACCATCAGAGCTGGAAAACGCAGGGAGGACCCCCAGAACCTCCAGAGAATGAGGTCCTCAGACTTCTTTTTTTAAAAAAAAATTTATTTATTTATGCATACCAGAGATGGGGTGCAGGGCAGAGGCACAGCGGGTCAGGGATGGGGAGGATTCACCAGAGACAGAGTGGGGAGCCAAACAGGCAGACTGACTGAAATACACTGCTGAGGGGAGCAGTGGGGAGACAGGAGAGGTCTGCTGCGCCATGCTGCCTGGTCAGAGATATAACTCCCACTATAGTAGCTGCGGATAGCTTCGTAGTACTGATGCTTACCCACTTGCGCCACCAGGGAGGCCCCTGAGGTCCTCAGACCTCTAGACTCCAGAACTGGCAGAGAATAAATTCACACTTTTTTAAGCCACTAGTTTGTGGTCTTTTGTCAAGACCACAGAAAACCAAGATGGGGTGGGATAGGATAGGTGACTCCTGGCATTGAGTGGGTGGAGCCATTCTAGGCTGCCCCCATTCCTGCCCCCAAAAAAGAATGAGCTGGCCCCGAATGAAAATAGTGCTGGGAGAAGGGAGAACCTCTGTTCTGAGGGCTGCCACTGACATTGACTCCTGGCTTCAGCCATGACTCTCCATGTCTCCACCTTCTGTCCATTCCTCCTTCCATCTTATTTCTGGTGCTCTCAAAGCACACTGCAGACATAGCCTTCTACCTTCGAAACACTTCACGCAGAGAGGTTAGTGGCTTGTCACTCTAAAGGGCTTTTAAAGGGCATCACCACAGGGCCGCTGTGGACAAACATGCACAAACACGCACCAGCTCTGCGCAGCTCTCCTGCCTGCCTGACTGTGCAGGTGCCTCGCTTTTTCTCCTTTTCCTAATAAATCTGTCCTTCTCAAATGTAAAAAACAAAAACATGTAAGAGCTCTGTGTTTCCACACTCTGACTAACGGGACATTAGGCCCCTTGAGTCCCCTCTACCCTTTCCTCTCTGTGCTCTTAACCCATTTGTTCGCAAACAGCTTCTGCTTAAAATCTGCATTTGTCTTTGCTCTTGATGGCTACTTATCCCCACACCCCTCAGGGCTCTTCACCACAGTCAAAATCCTTGGATGATCCCCAGTCCCACTTTCTGGAGCCCCTCCATGCTCTGCTTTGGCATCACCCTCACGTCCCCCTCCCCTTTCCTTTCCTTTCCTTTTCACAGTTGTTCATTTCTTCACTCCTTTGTTTTGCTGGAGCACACCCTGCAGTATACTGAGCTAATCTGTAAAGACTTTGCTGTCCAGGAACCATTTGATTCTTCCTCCCCACTGGATGTAGATCTCAGGGTCTTTCATCACTTGCCCCAGGTACTAAGCCTTCTCCTTCCTAATCCTTTGGAATGTGACCTGGAAGCATTTAGGGGTCCCAGGACTCCAGACACATACTCCCAGAAGCTCTGAGGTCCAGAGCCATAGTCTCTCCCTGTATTTTCCTGTTCTCTCTGGGATTCTTGGGTTGTTTTTCTATTTTCTGTTTCCTCTTCTGGTTTCCTTCTCTCCTCTTTGGACCTAATTCCTGGGGGAGTTCTCTGACTGGGCTCTTCCCACCCCCTGCTTAAGTTTTAGTTCTAGCTACTGTGTTATTAACTCCCAAATTCTCTTTCTTCTCTCTCATCCCTGAGTAATTAACAGAGTCTATTACTCTTGCCATTGGAAATACTCAGGGAGAGGGAGATGTAAGGGGGACCTGGAAACAGAAAGGCAGGCAGGAAGGTCATCCTAGGCGGGCAGCGCCTGAGTTTAGGACATAAGCCACCCAGCCCCCTGCCTGTCTGAAGACCTCTCCGTGGGGCCAGATGGAGACCATGTGTGTGTATGCAGGACCATGCAGAGGTACACCCCTGGCCTGTTCCAATGCCCAAATCCCTACCCATCTCATTCCTGCTTCCTCCTCCCATCCTGACTCCCTTTCTTAGAACTTAGGCCCCTGCACCTTTTGCTCCTTCTTCCTCCACAGGTCACAGGTCAGCCACAGGTCAGCAACCTGATTCCACCCTGGCTGGGGCCTAGGAAGGAGGACCAGCTTGTGTTCAGGACTGGCCTTGAGAAAGGGCAGCCATGATGCGTGCTCCCAAGGTGGGTATGGAGGACCTGGGGCTGGCTGGGTGGGCCTGGACATCAGTGAGTCAATAGATTACCAGTGGGGAGAAAGAGATGAACTCTGGCTGGAAGATGGAAGTGGGAGAGGAAGGAATGGCAGTGATCACACAGAGTGCTTCCTGGGATGGCAGATCTGGCAGGGGGCTACATATAAGTTGTTGGGGGATTAGGGGCATGGACCCCTTGCAGTTGAATATTCCTATACTACTTATAGTAGGTGCTCCTTGAGGATCCAGGGGTTCAGAAGCAGCAGATTCAGCTACCTGACTTCCCAAGGACCTACCCAGCTCAGCCGCTGTTGGTAACTGTCATGAACATTCCACGTATTCAACTGCAGGAAAGACCAAGTCTGGCACCTGGAGAAAGGCGCTTGATCTCCATGTGGCCTGGGGGTGAGGAAAGACATTTTAGGGTGGGGAGGGGTTCTAGGCACAGTGACCAAGAAAGGGAGCCGTGAGGCTTTAACGGTGTGAGGGGGCACCTTCCCCCAGTGTGGACAGAAGCGACTGGAGGTGAGGCGGGGCTAGCTGTGCACAGCTGTGACCGAGGGACTAGGGGTGTGGGGCGGCAAGACTGTGAGGCTGGAGGTGAACACAGGAGGACAGTGCGGGGCAAAGGGGCAAGCCACCCCCACTTCCACCTGGAGAGCCCACACGATCGGCTTGAGGTTCCGCGGTCGGCCAGGGCCCGCTCGGAGGCTCAGGAGGCTGACCTGGGTGGGGTCCAGCCCGCTCCCGGCTGAGCCGCCCTGAGAGTTCCCGTAAGGGAGAAACCCGAGGGCTCCTCCCCCCGGGGGAGAAAAGCAGCCCCGCGAGGTAACGCGAGGAGGGCCTCGGGGAGCAGGGCTCTGCAGGCGGGCGCGCCGCGCTGCCCCGAGTCTGCCGTCGGGGCGACGGGCCCCTCGTCCGAAGGGCGCCTCCCGAGCCCAGGGCTCCGGCGGGCGGAGCGGTCTCGGCCGGGAGGCAGCACCCACGTGGCGCGGGCTCGCCCGGGCTGGGGGTGTGGGCGCCGCGGCCCGCCGGGGGCCCTGGCAGGCCCGGCGCGCGCGGGCACGCGCGGAGGCCGCGCCCCGGGCCAGAGGCGCGGCGCGGGGCCGCGGGCGGGGCCGGGGGCGCCGCCGGCCCGCGGGCACCCACCTGCGCCCCGCCCGCCGCGCGCACGCTCCGGCCCGCCCGCCGCGCGGGGCCGCCCGTCACGTGACCGCGCCCCGCCCCGCGCGTGCGCCCTGCGCGGCGCCCCATTGTTGGCCGCGGGCGCGTCACGGGGGCGGGGCCGGGGCGGGGCCGGGGCGGGCCGGAGGGAGGCGGCGGCGGGAGGGAAGCCGCGTCCGCGCCGCCGAGCCCCGCCGCGCCCCGCCGCCGAGCCCCGCCGCGCCCCGCGCCCCGCGCCCGGGAGCAGCAGAGTCGCGCCGCCGCCGCCGCCGGCCGCGGCCCCGAGCACCCCGCGCCGCCCGCCCCGCCCGCCGCGCCGCCCCCGCCCCGCCGCTGGATGCCGGCGGCCGGCGGCCGAGCTCTCAGAGGCGGAGGGCGGCGGCGCGGGCGGCGGCGGCGGCGCGGGCGGCCGGCGGCCGAGAGGCAGCAGCGCGGGCCCGAGCGCTAGCGCCCGCCATGCCCGGCTCCGTGGGCCAGCCCGACGGCGACGGGGGCGGCCCGGGAGGGGGCGGCCCCGGGGGGCGGCCGCGGGGGACCCCAGCCCGGGGACCCCGCCGCCGCCCCCGCCCGAGGGCGCCGAGGAGGCCGCCCCGGCGCCCCGGCCGCCGCCGGAGCCCGACGACGCGGCCGCCGCGCTGCGCCTGGCGCTGGACCAGCTCTCCGTGCTGGGGCTGGGGGGCGCGGGCGGCGCGCGGGAGGCGGCGGCGGGCGGCGGGGACGGCGCGGCGGCGGGGGGCGCGGACGGCGGGGCGGCGGAGCCCGCGCCCCCCGACGGGCCCGAGGCGGGCGCCCCCGGGGCCGCGGCCGCGCTGTCGCTGCTGGAGCCCGCCGCGAGCCCCCCGCCCCCGCCGCCGCCCCGGCCGTCGCCGCCCGACGTGTTCGCGGGCTTCGCGCCCCACCCGGCGGCCCTGGGCCCCCCGACGCTGCTGGCCGAGCAGATGAGCGTGATCGGCAGCCGCAAGAAGAGCGTGAACATGACCGAGTGCGTGCCGGTGCCCAGCTCGGAGCACGTCGCCGAGATCGTGGGGCGCCAGGGTGAGTGGCTGCCCTGGGGTGCCGCCCCGGGGACCCCGCGCCGCGCGCCGCCGGGAAGGGCAGCCGCAGCCCGGCCCCGCGCGGGGCGCCGGCCCCCCGCCCGCCCGCCCGCCCGCCCCGCGTGGGCTCCGGCCCCGCGGCCGCCCGTGCGCCTTTGTCCTGCCGCGGGCCGCGCGGCCGCGGGAGAAAGTTGGGCGCAGCCCGCGCTCCTCCCCTCGCGCCCGGGCCTGCCGCTGCCTTTGTCTGAGCCGCCACCAGCCCGGAAAGGCCCCGGGCGCCGCCTCTGCTTAGGCCCCTGGCCACCCGCGTGGGCTCCGCGGCGAGGGCGCCGGCACCGGGGGACCGGGCGGCGGGCGCTCCACGCCCAGACCCAGCTTGGGGTGGGGCATGCCCGGGCTTGGGGGTGCCAGGGGGCACCCGGGCGGCCTCAGGAGATAAGTTTGGTGGCACAAAGAGGGTACGTCTCTTCTTGCCAGTCTGGGAGCGCTGGGGGCGCAGCGCTGAATGAGCGGATCCTTGTTTCCACTCTCAGTCCCGAGTCAGGGATTTTGGGTACTGTGGAAGGACCAGCTGTAAAAGCTGATTCTGGGGCTCAATCCCATGACTCCCTCCTGGCAGGCGGCAGCCCCAGGGTACAGGGGTCCCAGCAACAGCATTGTCGGAGTGTCCCTGTGGCCGCCCCATTGTTCTCTTTGTTAGAGAGCCAGGCTGAGATTTGCAGGGTGACATCAGGCTGGCCGCAGCTCATTGGCCCTGGAGCTGCGTGGCGGGCGGGTGGGCGGGCGGGCGGTGGGCAGTGCCTGGCCCAGCACACACCCACCCACCCTGCTAAGCCACCTGCCTGCCCACCTGGCCTCAACTTTCTCCTGCCTCCCTCCTGCCTGCTCCTCACTTCCAGCTCCCTGCTCCCTTCAGTCCACCAGTTTCTAGAACTTGGGGTGGGGTTTGGGTGGGGCTTGAGGGGTTGGGGGTCCCAGCTCTGAGTCCTCAGTGACTGGAGTGAGAAGGGCAGCTTGGGGGGCTTGAATTGCAAGGTCACTTGTCACTCTTGCTGTGGCCAGAGGACCACAGGGATGCCCTGATGCTGCCCCCTGTGAGTTCTGAGTGGGTGGGGTGACTTTGGTGCAGGTGCATTTGCTCCTGCATTTGTCTGCCCCTTGTGTCTGCAGGGAGAGTCCGGTGCGGTGTGGGTGGTGGGACCCCTGTTGGGAGGGGAGTCCGGCCGAGGGAGCCTTGTCTCTCTCAGCCCTGCAGCAGGCTCCCCAGCACGGGGACCCCTGAGGGGAGACTCTCCCCCCGCTCCATCCAGCAGTTACCTTGGCATTTCATTTCCCCTTCCCGGGCCCTGTCCCTCGTACCTTCCCCGGGATGTGGAACGCGTTGCTGTGTGCTGAGTGTGCAGATGCTTCTGGGGACATCTGTGTAAACCAAGACCGGGGGGCTGGTGCCCATCCCGCTGGGTGTCAGCCAGAGGGCACTGAGCCTGGGGCCTTGGCTAGGATAGTCTTGGGTTGTGGGAAGCGAGCCTGGGGCATCAGGCACAACCTGGCCCCTCTTCCCCAGGTGCCATCCAGGTTCTTACTGGTCAAGGCAGATTTGGGGGGTATGGTGGGCCCTGAGAACCTTGCCCTGCAGGCTGGGCGGCGCTGTGACCCAGGGCAAATGGGAGTTTCCTATGTGGGGTTGTAGCAGAATTTTCCAGCCAGATGTGTGTTCTAAGCCCAACTCCAGGCCGGTGCACACGGCCACCCTGTGAGTGGGGTACAGGGTCCTGGGGAGGGGGACTTGAATGCTCTGAGAGCTTTGGCAGCCTATGTATCTTCCCCACTCGAGTCCTCTGTGGCTCCCGCCTTCTCCCGCCTGATTCTCCCAGGAACAGGCCAATACCCTTTGCGTCCTGGCCCCACCCCCTCTCCCCAGCCTGGGGCCTTGGGACCCAAACGCTGTCTCCTCTTCCTACTTGGTTCTCCCAGTGCAGGGGGCACCGCCTGCCCCACAACTCCTCATCCTCTTCTGTCAAACCCAAGGCCCAGGGCTGCCTCCTTCAACAGAGGGCCAAATGGACCCACCTGCCGGGTTTCTGCCCTAGATACTCAGGCTGGGGGCAGCCCCTCCCCTGGCCCCTACTCACTGTTTTTGAGCCTGGGTTTTCACAGTCCTAGAATAGGTCCTTCTGGCATCGGGAGGTGTTTACAAACCCCTGAGACTGAGAGACCCAGAAAGTCCCCTAGATGGAGCTTTGACCTGCCCTGGGGTAGCCCCAGAAAGATCATGTCGCCTTTGGCTACACTCAGGGAAGGAGAAGTAGACAGGGCAGGGGACAAGCAGCTTAGGCCAGGAGAGAACACCCCTCCTCCAGACCCCTGTCACCACCCAAATTTGCCTTGTTGTGTCACCCACTGAGCAGGGGGTGCGACCGGGGTCACTCCTGCAGTCTGCTTTCCCCGACTGGGCAATCCCCGCCCTCCACAAGTTATGCTGCCTCTTGGGGTCTTGGTGTGGGGAGGTGGGGACCAATGTGTCTGCAGCTAAAATTCAGCTGGTGACTTGGGCTTCCTCTCTGCCCTGAGGGAGCTGCCCAAGGCCACCTTCTGGGCCTAGATGGGATGGGGGCAGGCGAGGGGGAGCTGCAGGGTCCCACCCTGACCTGCTCGCTCTCAGTTGAAATTCACGGTCTAGCCTCCCACATGGTCCCTTAGATGCTGCCCTTACCCAGACCCCACCCTGCTCCCTGCCGGCTCTGTATGTGACACCCTCTAAGCCCCCATCACACTGAGGAGCCAGACCGCCTGTCTGTGGGTAGGGGTCAGAGTGTCGAGGTCACAGGGTGGACCTGAGTGGGGAACAGCTGACCAGTCCCAGCCGGCTCCATGTGTTTCGGAACGAGGCCGCCTCCCTGCCTGCGCCGAGGGCCGGCGGGGCCTCCCTTCCCTGCACTGGGTCTCCTCGGCCAGCTTCTGCGGCCCCCGCCCTCTCTTCTGGGCCTTGTTAGGCTGCGCAAGGGCCCGCGGGAAGCAGACATTGCTGGGGCTGGGGTGGGGGTGCTCTTCCCACCAGCCCTTGTTGCCCGTGGGGCAGGGCACCTGCCTGGGGCCAGGTGAGGAGAACGGAACGCTTGAGAAGCGGGTGCTGGGGTCCTGGCCTGGGGAAGTCAGGGTGGGTGTCCCAGATGCGGGACGGGACGCGCTTGCCCTGCCGAGGAAGGGGAGGGAGAGGGGTAAATTTGAAAGTCCTTTGAGATTTGCTGAGTGGGAGGGGCTATGCCCACTTGACAACTTGGTGGGGGGGGCTTTGGGGGGTACCAGTGAGGAGCAGGCGGAGACGGGAAGAAAAGGCCCCTTGCCAGGGAGGCTTCTGGCTCAAGGTGACGCTGTCCCCAGGCACCCCCGCCACCACATGGCGCTCCCCCATCCTGAGCCTCCCTCCCCCAGCCCAGGTCAGGCACTATCTCTGCTTCCCGCATCAGAGTTTGTGTCTTTGCCAGTAGGCGAGTTAGCAACACTGTTATTCCTCTCAATGGCGCCCTCTGTGTATGGAAACTAGATCTCTGTGTCTCCCTAAGACTCCCGTCCCGGTGCGTGGGTGGGTGGGCTGGCGGGCCTGCGTGTCCGGAACTTGGGCAGGCACCCCCTCAAAGGCCCTGTGTGACTGGCCTCCTCCACAGACACTCCTGTCCCCTTCATGAGGGGCCCCCCAGCCAGCTGCCAGGGCGCCATGTCCCTGAGCACCCACCCCTGGAGGCTGCCGCCCGGGTGCTCTGGGAGGTGTTCTGAGTCAGGGCTAGGAGACACGTTGTCCAGCTGAGACCAGCTCCCCTTGGGGGGGCGTCACTCGGTCAGAGGAAATCGTGGCAGTTTCCAAAGTCTGAGGAGGAAGGGTGTCCTGGGACTGACAGGACAATGGGTAGCCGGAGTGGATAAAACTCACTGGCTCCCAGCTCTGCAGGGGGGGACTCTGGAGCCCAGGTGCCACAGGACCGAGCTGTCCCCACCCCAGGCTCCGGGGACGGGCCCTCCGGCAGCCAGGGCCCCCCCACCCCTCCAGATTCCCCTCATAAAGAATAGCACCGGGGGCCGCCCTACTCCCGTGTGAGAGCGTCCTAGCCGCTACACCTGCAAAACCCGATTTCCAAATAAAGCCTCATTCTGCCATTCCAGGCGGACATGAATTGCGGGGGGGACACCATTCACCCCGCAACAGGGTGCTCCTGGCCTTGATTTTTTGCCAACACCCTCCCCTGAGTCCCCCAGGGCCGGAGGGGTGGAGAGGGATGGGTCGGGCTGGATGGAGCGGCGGCGAGGCGGGCCCCGCCCTCACTGCGCCCTCCCCCGCAGGCTGCAAGATCAAGGCTCTGCGGGCCAAGACGAACACGTACATCAAGACGCCGGTGCGCGGGGAGGAGCCGGTCTTCATCGTGACGGGCCGCAAGGAGGACGTGGAGATGGCCAAGCGCGAGATCCTGTCGGCCGCCGAGCACTTCTCCGTGATCCGCGCCACGCGCAGCAAGGCCGGGGGCCTGCCCGGCTCGGCCCAGGGCCCGCCCAACCTGCCGGGCCAGACCACCATCCAGGTGCGCGTGCCCTACCGCGTGGTGGGGCTGGTGGTGGGGCCCAAGGGTGCTACTATCAAGCGCATCCAGCAGCGGACGCACACGTACATCGTGACCCCCGGGCGCGACAAGGAGCCGGTGTTCGCGGTCACCGGCATGCCCGAGAACGTGGACCGCGCCCGCGAGGAGATCGAGGCGCACATCACGCTGCGCACCGGCGCCTTCACCGACGCGGGCCCCGACAGCGACTTCCACGCCAACGGCACGGACGTGTGCCTGGACCTGCTGGGGGCGGCGGCCAGCCTCTGGGCCAAGGCCCCCAACCCGGGCCGGCGGCCCCCCGCCGCCGCGGCCGGCCTCCGAGGGGACAGCGCTCTGGGGGCCCCGGGGGCCCCGAGGCCTTCTACGCGGGCAGCCGCGCGGGACCGCCGGTGCCGGACGCGGGGCCGGCCAGCCCCTACGGCGGCGCGGGGAACGGGGGCTTCACCTTCAGCGGGGACGGCCCGGGCACGCCGGCGGGGCCGCCCGCCCCCGAGGACTGCGACTTCGGCTTCGACTTCCTGGCCCTGGACCTGACGGTGCCGGCCGCGGCCACCATCTGGGCGCCCTTCGAGCGCGCCGCGCCCCTGCCCGCCTTCAGCGGCTGCTCGGCCGTCAACGGCGCCCCCGCGCCCCCGGCGCCCGGAGCGCGGCGCAACAGCGGGGCCGGCACCCCGCGCCACTCGCCCACGCTGCCCGAGCCCGGCGCGCTGGGCCTGGAGCTCCCGCTGGCGCGCCGCGGCGCCCCGGACCTGGGGGGCGCCCTGCCCTGGCGCCCCGCGCAGGGCGCCCTGGCCGCCTTCTCCAGCGGCGCCGGCTTCTCCGCGGCCACCTCGCTGCCCAGCGGCTCCGCGGCCTCCCCGTGCTCGCCCCTGGACTCGAGCGCCCCCGACGGCGGCCGGAAGCCCGCGGCCCCCGCGGCCCCGGCCCCCGCCCCGGCCCTGGCGCGCGAGTGCGTGGTGTGCGCGGAGGGCGAGGTGATGGCCGCGCTGGTGCCCTGCGGGCACAACCTCTTCTGCATGGACTGCGCCGTGCGCATCTGCGGCAAGAGCGAGCCCGAGTGCCCGGCCTGCCGCACGCCCGCCACGCAGGCCATTCATATCTTTTCCTAGCGCGGCCGGGCGGGGGGCGGGGGGCCGGGGGCCGGGCCGCGGGTGTGGGGGGCCGGTGCTTACAGACGCTGAGCTTTAACTCCGTCCCAGGCGTGGAAACGGCGGCCCCGCGACCCAGCTGCGCCTCGGTCATTAACAAATAACAGTATTGAGCGACAGGTTAAAATAAACCAGAGAGAAAAGGTCTGCTTGCACTTTTTATTTAAGACACCCCTCCAGGGTGATCTTTTTAAGAAAAATAACACAATTTTTACAACTCTCTGTTGTCCTTTTTTTGTACGTAGCCGATTTCTGATTTGACAGTGTTTTCACGGTGGTTTCAGCCTCTAAAGAAACGTCCACGGAAGGATGGCGGCATTTTTACTCCCTTTTTGGGGCGAACCAGTTACCTTTTGTATGTCAGCCAGGCACAGGGAGGAGGGGCGGGCCCGGGGCGAGGGGCATCCCAACCAGAAATTTCTAACTTTTTTGGTTTAATTATTAATCCCCTTCTGCTGTGATTTTTGTTGTCAGTTTTTTAATTTTTTAATTGTTTTTTTAAACTTTTACTTTTTACCTCGTGTATATGTAGGGAATTTATAGGGAAATATGTACTTTATGGAATAAATTTTAAGAACTAAAATATATTTTATTTTAAATAAAGTAACGGACCTTTAATCTTACACAACTAAAGTACTGATTATATATTTGCTGAGTGACTTAGGGTTAAGAAAATTGTATCAAGAGTTTTATTTTTTGACTTCAAATCCTTCTTAATAAAGTCTTTTTACTACACGTGAGCCCTTGAAGTGGTGTGGGGCTGGGGGGTGCGGGGAGGGGGCGTTCAGGTCCCGCTCCTGCCCTCCACCCATATTCCAGGTAGAGGATTAGGGCTCAGGATATCCTGGGTCAGGCTCTTACTCAAGCCAGGCGCTCTTTTTCCAGATGGGGCATGGGGCCTGTGGGGGCAGGGTCCAGCAAGGCCCGGCTTTATTCAGACTCGGGCCCCCCACGCCCTGGGGCTTGGCCAAACCGGAAGGTTCTAGCTGCTGTGGCCAGTGTAGGGCTGTCCAGTCCCAGGCGCCTGCCCAGCTCTGTGGTGCAGGGCCCCTGTCCACACCATTGTGCAGATGGGGAGATGGGGAAGTGGAGGGAGGCCCCTATACTCCCCACCCTGGAGGACATCTGTGTGACGAGCTTCGTCTCCCACAACACCTAGATGGAGCGGGTATCGAGATCTGTTGACCCACGGCTCACCTGGCCCTCTTCAGCAGCTGGCAGGCGTCGCCAAAGTTCCAAAGGAGAGAAGGAAGTTCTGGCGAGCGTGCAGTGGGGCATGTGACAGGGAGGAGCCCAGCCCTGCTCTAGGGACAAACCTGGGGACCAAGCTGCCAGTTCTCGTGGGTAGCAAGAAAGAGTCTGGAGGCAAAGCCTGCCAAGAAAGCTAGGACGTCAAGATGGAAAAGCCTGGAGGGCTTCCAGGAGAAGGTGAGGGGCTTGGGATGATTGAAGCTCCTAAGTGTCAGATGCAAGAGCAGGCAGATGGCTGGGACACCTCATGAGCAGCTTCCCCAGGGAGAAGTCACATCAGACCCTCCAACCAAGAGTGGCAGTGCCCGGACAGCCAAACCCCACCCAGGCTTCAGGGTCAGTGTGTGTCCCAAGAAGAGCCACCGCATCTGGGGGTCCAGCCCAACCCTGCCTGGAATTTCCCCTTCCATAAACAGGGACACTCCTGGCTCTGGTGAGGCTCAGCAGGGTGGAGTGGGTTAAATCCAGGTGTACCCCAAACGTGTCCCCAGATCTTGTGAATGGGGCCTTACTTGGATAGAGGATCTTTGCAGATGTAATTACGGGCCTTGAGATGATCCTGAATTAGGGCAGCCCTAAATCTAATAAGTATCCTTATGGAGACACCCAGAGGGAGAATGAAAGCTCAGACACGTAGGGAGAGGTCGCGTGAGGATGAAGGCGGACAAGGCACACGGTCACAGCCTGGGGACGCTGGAGAACTGACTGGACGGTTCCTGGCACCCTAAGCTGCCCTCTGGTAATCTGTACAGTGGTCTCAGAAGGCCAGTGCTGGTGTGTGGGCGATGTTTCACCCAGGGCCTGGCCCACTGGCAGTAGGAGTGAACATGGCTGCAGTGGCGTCTGGTAAGGTCAGGCTGCAGGAGGCTGTGGAGGCAGCAGGGAGAGTGTGAACACCCCCCTTGCGGTGTGGCCACACTGGGGAAGGGCTGTGTGGCTGGTCTTGAAGGGTCAAGGGGAGACAGGACGAGGGGGGCGGGAGAGAGGAGGTCGGGCTGGTCCCCCCAGGAGCAGGCACAGTTTGGGGGCCTCAGATCCAGGATCTGCAGAGTTGAGGGCCCTCTTGGGGCGGCTTTCCCTCTGGGGAGCCTCCAGTAAATGACTTGTCAGTTTGCTTGGAGGAGGCTGGCAGGAGGGGGTGAGACGGGGAGCAAGGTGCCAAGGTCTTGGGGGTTAGAGGGGTGCTGGCTGGAGACTGGCCGAGGATGGAGAGGGATGAAGTGGCTGGAAGATTGGCCAGGGAAGGGTCAAGCCAAGGACTTGGGCCCAGATCCAGCGGCCCAGAGCCCTCTTGGGAGGGTCTGAAAAATGCAGCAGCACAATCCCACGACAGGCCTATTAGCAGTGATTTCCCAGGACTTTCCAGAAATGTCTGGGCCGGGGGTGGGGGGGGGCTGCTTACTCTGCTATGAGGTTTTGAGGCTCATAAGTGGGAGGCCAATGTTTCTGTAGCCCTCAGGGAGAGCTGAGAGCTGGCCAGGGTGGATTCTAGAGCTCGTCGTTTGATGTCTGAGATGCAGCCACGCCTAAAGGTGGACCCTCACGACTTGTTATGAGAATTGATAAGTTTCCTGCCCTTTGGGGACCGCCTTCCTGGTCAGGGATCTGGGGGGTGTTTCCGGGGTCTGGTAGCTGGCAAAAATGAGCAAGTGTCCTGTGCACCCAGCTTCTTCCAGGCATATCCAGGGAGCCAAGAGCTGAGCCTGGCCAGTCCTGGATACAAGGCCTCATCCCCTTGCCATTTCTTTCTTTTCTTTTTAAAAAATATTTATTTATTTTATGCATACAAGAACTGGGGTACCGGTCAGAGGTGTGGGAGATGAGAAGATTCACAAGAGACAGAGCGGGGAGCAGAACGGGCAAATTCATTGAAATACACTGCTGAGGGTGAGCAGCCGGTTGAGACAGGAGAGGTCTGCTGCGCCATGTGGGTTGCTCCCTGGCCGGCGGGGAATCGAACTCATGCTGCAGAGGCTGCGGATTGCTTCATAGTGCGATGCTTAACCCCTTGCACCACCAGGGAGGCCCTTGTCACTTATTTCTGTTAGCTCAGGGACCCAAAAGTCAGGTGACCTGAATCAGAGTGTGGATTCTTCCTGGAGCTGTGTGTGGGGGGAAGCTAAATAATGGATGAGAAGCGGGGACCGCAGCCACCAGAGAGACTGGTGAGGGCGATGGCAACCAAGTTAAAGGTGAACTGGGCACAGCCTGGGACTCCTTTAGTCTCATCCATCCCTGTGAGCCCTTTGATAAGGGTCCCCATTTTTGCTGCAGCCTGTCTTACTCCTGGCCCCTCTATGTTGTGAGGAGAAAGCCATGTCAGCCAAAAGAATTTAAATCAACATGGAGGGCCTTCCTGGTGATGCAAGGGGTTAAGATGCAACCTATGAAGCTATCCATAGCCACTGCAGCACCAGTTAGATGCCCAGCCAGGGAGCAACTCACATGGCGCAGCAGACCTCTCTTGTCTCACCCGCTGCTCCCCTCAGCAGTGTATTTCAGTCAGTCTGCCTGTTCTGTTCCCCGCTCTGTCTCTGGTGAATCCTCTCACCATCCCCACCCCCTGGTACCTCTGGTCTATACCCCAGTTCTTGTATGCATAAATAAAAAAATCTTTACAAAAAGAAAAAGAAATCCATGTCAGCCAAAAGAATTTAAATCAACATGGAGGGCCTCCCTGGTGGTGCAGGGGTTAAGATGCAACCTATGAAGCTATCGGCAGCCACTGCAGCAGGAGTTCCATCCCCGGTCAGAGAGTTGACCCACATGGCGCAGCAGACCTCTCCTGACTCGCCCACTGCCCCCCTCAGCAGTGTATTTCAGTGGACCCACATATTTTCTGTTCCCCACTCTGTCTCTGGAGAGTCCTCTCACCCCCCATACCTCTGGCCTACACCCCAGTTTTTGTATGCATACATAAATAAAAATAAAAATAAATATAAACAAATCAACATGGAAATAACCACATGTAGCTGGTCACTCCTGCGTTGGACAGACTCTCTAGACTGTTCCAGTCCAGCACTGTAATAGGACTTTTTACCATGATGGCAATGTTCTAGATCCACACTGAACCTACAGAGGAGCCACCAGCCGTATGGAGCAGCTGGGCACCTGTGCTGTCACTTGTGCAATTCAGAAGGTGCATTTTAAAATTATTTAGCTTTAATTTCAATGTAAATAGCCACACTGAAAGAGACAAGGCATCTAGGGAAGATATTTTTGTTAGGCAAGATATTTTTGCTGGGCAGCCTTCAAAGTACTTTTATTTAGGGCCTCCCTGGTGGCGCAAGGGGTTAAGCACAGCGCTATGAAGCAATCTGCAGCCTCTGCAGCACGAGTTTGATCCCTGGCCAGGGAGCAACCCCCATGGCGCTGCAGACCTCTCCTGTCTCCCCGCTGCTCCCCTCGGCAGTGGATTTCAGTAGATCTGCCTGTTCTGTTCCCCATTCTGTCCCTGGTGAAACCTCTCACCCCCTGCATCTCTGGCCTGTACTCAAGCTCTTGTGTGTATAAATAAATATTTTTTTAAAAAGCACTTTTATTTTACTTATTTATTTATTTTTACTTATGCATACAAGAACTGGGGTATAGGCCAGAGGTGTATGTGTGGGAGGATTCACCAGACACAGAGTGGGGAGCAGAACAGGCAGATCCACTGAAATACACTGCTGAGGGGAGCAGCGGCTGAGTCAGGAGAAGCCTCTGCGCCAGGTGGGTCAGCTCCCTGGCCGGAGATCATGCAGTGGCTGGTGACAGCTTCGTAGAGCTGAGACTTATCACCTTGCGCCACCAGGGAGACCCTGAAGTACTTTGAAAGCCAGGGAAGCAGCAGGGCCAAGGTGCCCAAAATTAGTATGAGAGAGAGAGTGGACATGTCCACCAGAGTGTCCCCGGAGCAACAAAGATCACAGAGAGACGTGTCACCTCACATGGTAAAGGGACTTTGTGGGTGGTGTTGAGTTGAGGCCCCTGAGACGGGAGCTTCCTGGATTCCCAGGGACAGTGACCTCATGAGGGTCCTTATAGCGGGAGGAGGAGGGTCTGAGGCAGGGCCGGGAAGAGGCTGCTGGCTGTGAGGACAGAGGAAGGGCTTGAGCCTGGATGTGGCGCCTCTAGAAGTTAGAACAGGCAGGAGACGGGCCCTGGATCACCGGAGGAGCGACCTGCCCCATCGGGTTTTGGGGCTTCCACCATCCAGAGCCATGAGAAAATACATTCATGTTATTTTAAGCCACCAAACTGGTGGTGGTTTGTACAGCAGTTAGAAACTCACACCACTGTATTAAGGGTTGTCCCAGCTCCCTGAAGAACTGACATCTGTGGTGCCAGAAAGTAAGGCTCCCAGGCCCCGGGAGCCTCAGAAGGGGCCAGAGATGTTGGCCTGTGAAAGCACATTTGATTATTTTCCCATGTGTAATAAAGTTGAGATTTGTCCGAGGAGAATGGAGAAATATCTCACAAATGGGTTAAGTGAGAGTTAATAAAACAAT